TGCTTCCTCTTCATCCTGGAAAGAAGTGATGAGCGGAGTGCTGCTGGGTTCCTTCCTGGGCCCGATCCTGTTCAACATCTTTATTAATGACTTAGATGAAGGATTAGAAGGCAGGATCATCAAGTTTGCAGACGACACCAAATTGGGAGGGATAGCCAATACTCCAGAGGACAGGAGCAGGATTCAAAACGATCTTGACAGATTTGAGAGATTGGCCAAAACTAACACAATGAAGTGTAACAGTGACAAATGCAAGATACTCCACTTTGGCAGGAAAAACGAAATGCAAAGATACAGAATGGGGGACAATGCCTGGCTCGAGAGCAGAACGTGTGAAAAAGATCTTGGAGTCCTCGTGGACAACAAGTTAAACATGAGCCAACAATGTGATGTGAGGGCAAAAAAAGCCAATGGGATTTTGGCCTGCATCAATAGGAGCATAGTGTCTAGGTCCAGGGAAGTAATGCTACCCCTCTATTCTGCTTTGGTTAGACCACACCTGGAATATTGCGTCCAGTTCTGGGCACCACAACTCAAGAGAGATATTGACAAGCTGGAATGTGTCCAGAGGAGGGCGACTAAAATGATCAAGGGTCTGGAGAACAAGCCCTATGAGGAGCGGCTTAAGGAGCTGGGCATGTTTAGCCTGAAGAAGAGAAGGCTGAGAGGAGATATGATAGGCATGTATAAATATGTGAGAGGAAGCCACAGGGAGGAGGGAGCAAGCTTGTTTTCTGCTTCCTTGGAGACTAGGACGCGAAACAATGGCTTCAAACTACAAGAGAGGAGATTCCATCTGAACATGAGGAAGAACTTCCTGACTGTGAGAGCCGTTCAGCAGTGGAACTCTCTGCCCCAGAGTGTGGTGGAGGCTCCTTCTTTGGAAGCTTTTAAACAGAGGCTGGATGGCCATCTGTCAGGGGTGATTTGAATGCAATTTTCCTGCTTCTTGGCAGGGGATGGGACTGGATGGCCTATGAGGTCTCTTCCAACTCTTTGATTCTATGATTCCTAAAGACTGGTAGTGGAAATGGTCAACATTTTCTAATGTTACACCATTAAGCTGTATCACTGGCATTGGAGAGGGGTTGGCTGGTGTCTGCTGGAAGAGCACTTTGTTTTTCTCGATGTTCAGTTACAAGCCGAGCTCCTCGTATGCTTCTGCGAAGGTGTTATGTAGATCTTCTTCTGAATGCGCACAGACGACATTGTCATCACATACTGGAGTTCTATTACAGATGTTGTTGTAACCTTGGTTTTGGCTTTCAGTCTGCTGAGGTTAAACAGCTTGCCATCTGTCCGATAGATGATTTCCACTCCGCTGGGAAGCTTCCCATCAAGAAGATGAAGTATCATAGTGATAAAGATGGAAAATAAGGTTGGGGCAATAACACATCCCTGTTTGACACCAGATTCTACCTTGAATGGGTCACTTTGGGAGCCATGGCTGTCCAAGACTGTTGCCATCATGTCATCATGGAGGAGCCATATACACATATAAACACACATATACACAAATATATACACACACAAAACATATACACAGACTGGGCCACAGCAACGCGTGGCAGGGGATGGCTAGTAAATAAAGAAAATAAATATAATAACCCCAGCTGATTCCCCTGTGCTAAGCATATTGGAATAGCACTGTATGTCACCTACCAAAAGCTGTTGCTCCATCTCTCAATGTTTTGCCTAACTTTCTTAAATTTCACACCATCCAATGCTATTTTTGTTGCAATTCTAATATTAGTAATTTTTTAAAAAAATAAAAAAATATCTTGAGGGGGCACCCGGATTTGAACCAGGGACCTCTTGATCTGCAGTCAAATGCTCTACCACTGAGCTATACCCCCGCTTCCGGGAAACAGTGCCTTCGTATGTGTACTTCAATGGAACCCAAAAGGTCTGTAGCAAGATCAGAGAGATGTCTAGGGCAAATTAAATATAGTGCTTTTTATATCTGTTTAAACTTGTACACACTTGCAGGTCGAAACGGGAAAAGCTGTTAAAATAAAACGGGGAAATTAATTCATTTCGAATGTGACGCTACAGTGGGAGTGGCTCAGAGGGGAGTTCTCATACTGGGAGCCTCCAGGCATTTGGACTTCAATTCCCAGAAGCCTCAGCCAGGCAGACCAATTGCTAGGAATTCTGGGAGATGAAGTCCAAAAAACATTCTGAAGGCTCAAAGCTTGGGTTAATGTAATATTATGCATGTAGACTCAGAAGCAAATCCGTCTGAATATGTCGCGCGTTAGGGTGCATCTGCCCTGTAGAATTAATACAGTTTGACACCACTTTAACTCCCATGGCTCAAATGCTATGCATTTAGCCGTCTCTGCCAACTACAACTCTCATGATTCGATAGCATAGAGCCAGTGCAGTTAAAGTGGTGTCAAACTGCATTAATTCTACAGTGTAGATCCACCCAAGGTTCTTAAAATTCTTATTTTTGTTATTGTTGATATTTATTTATTTTTATGTATGTCTTTCCAAGTTTTCTCCCAAGATGGGTTTCTTTTTTTTTTAAAAAAAATTTTATTAAAGTTTTCCATTTTAACTTTACATTTGGCCTTCCCACTGTTTTTAATTGCGTTTTGTCTTATTGATAATGTTGTATTTTTATTGTTTATGTTTAATTTTAATTGCTTGTACTGTTGTTGTTTGTTTGTATTGTTGTATTTGGGCTCGGCCTCATGTAAGCCGCACCGAGTCCCTTGGGGAGATGGTAGTGAGGTACAAATAAAGTGTTATTATTATTGTTATTATTAATATTAGGAAGAAAAAAATAGTTTACATGGAAAGTGAAGGAACACTTTCATTTATAGGAAACTAGCTGTACCCGCTGCATGTTGCTGTGGCCAACCTTCCCTCCTTCTATCTCTCCTCCTTTTTTTCTCTCCTTCCTTCCTTCCTTTTTTTCTTTCTTTCTCTCCTTCCTTCTTTCTCTTCCTCTTCCCTTACTTCCTCCCTTTCCTTTCCTTTCCTCTTTCTCCCCTTCCTTCCTTCCCTGCCTATTCTTGTACTGCAACTTCCAGCAGTCCACCTGATCAATCTACCCACCTATCTATCTCTAATCTATCTATTTATCTATCTGGAGGATAGCTGGGATTTGCAGTCCAGGAATAGGAAATTGGAAATATGTAGGAATTGGGATGCTCTCAAAGAAACCCAAGGAGAAAAAAATCTTGCATCTTGGAATTTGGATCATCCTCCTCACCTAAAGGGCCTGGTCTAGGGGAGGCTGGGAGCTGTAGTCCGGAAGAGAGTGTGGATAACAAACATTACATTTTTATTTATATATATTTATAGGAAACTAGCCGTCCCCTGCCACACATTGCTGTGGCCCAGTCTGGTGATCTGGAAAATAAAGTAATTAGAAAGTGTTGGTTTCTAATACACGTAATTTCTGTATGCTTGTGAGTAAACAATATTTCTTGTTGTTTCTTTGTCAGTGTTGATGTGGAGATTGTCTGGTTTGCCTACTCTAGAACATGCAACATATCAAATTCCTTTAGGGGTCCCTTTCAAATCTATGATACTATATTTATGTGAGTGTGATTCATATATATCTATCTATATCAGGGGTCCTCAAACTTTTTAAACGGAGGGCCAGGTCACAGTCCCTCAAACTGTTGGAGGGCCGGATTATAATTTGAAAACAGCATGATTGAATTCCTATGCACACTGCACATACCTTATCTGTAGTGCAAAAAACACTTTAAACAATATAATAATTAAAATGAAGAACAATGTTAACAAATATAAACTTATTAGTATTTCAGTGGGAAGTGTGGTCCTGCTTTTGGCAGATGAGATAGGGTTGTTGTTGTTGTTGTTGTTTGCTTTCAAGTCATTTCAGACTTAGGTTGACCCTGAGCGAGGGGCAGGTAAATGACCTTGGAGGGCCGTATCCAGCCCCCGGGCCTTAGTTTGAGGACCCCTGATCTATATCTATGGCTGGATGGCTCTTTGTCAAGAGGGCTTTGATTACATTTTCTTGCCCTGGTGAAGGGATTTGGAGTCAATGTCCTTAAGTATTTTCTGTTGGTAATGGGGGTTCTGTGTGGGAAGTTCCCCCAATTCTGTTGTTGATGTGGTTCAGAATGCTCTTTGATTGTTGGTAACTACAACTCCCAATATTGAGTATCTGTGCCAAGTTTGGTCCAGATCCATCATTATTTGAGTCCACGGTGCCCTCTGGATGTAGGTGAACTACAACTTCCAAGCTCAAGGCCAGTGTCCACTAAACCCTTCTAGTGTTTTCTGTTGGTCATGGGAGTCCTTTGTGCCACATTTGGTTCAATTCCATCATTGGTGGAGTTTAGAATGCTCTTTGATTGTAGGTTAACTACAAATCCCAGGACTGCAACTCTCTAATGACAAAAGACTTGATTGATGGACACTCCTTGGGTTAGTAGGTGTCTTGTGTCCAAATTTGGTGTCAATTTGTCCAGTGATTTTTGAGTTATGTTAATCCCACAAACGAACATTACAATGTATTGTCGAAGGCTTTCATGGCCAGAACCACTGGGTTGTTGTAGGTTTTTTCGGGCTATATGGCCATGTTCTAGAGGCATTCTGTCCTAACGTTTTGCCTGCATCTATGGCAAGCATTCTCAGAGGGAGTGAGGATGCTTGCCATAGATGCAGGCGAAACGTCAGGAGAGAATGCCTCTAGAACATGGCCATATAGCCCGAAAAAACCTACAACAACCCGAACATTACAATTTTATTTATATAGATTTATTTATAGGAAATAAGGTTCTGAAAATTCTTAGTGTGATGTCATACATTGCCAGCACACTCTGGCAGAGAATGATAGAGATCTCATAAAAATACATATCACAGAATTTCTTAGATTGCAGCAACAGGGTAGTCGAGTGTGGACACATTGTGCTAAGCTCCAAATGCTGAGAACGGTGGCTGTTCAATGAATGGACCCCTAGGTGGCGCTGCAACCAGAAGAGTGTGAATTGGAGTCACGTGGCAGAAACTTGGCACGTCACGTGGGACCCCAGGAACTCCTCATAACCTTCCCGGCAAGCTTTGCGCTTCCTTTTTTTTTTAGGAGGCCGGGCGTCCAAGATGTCTAAGCGAGGTGAGGCCTAGCAGGGGGAGGGAAGGGGAATCCGCTTCCATCCGTCTGCCTTGGTCCGGATTTGACCATATTTCATCCCGGATTACTGGTGGCGAGACTTTAACGGTCCGATAGCTGCAGGGAGAAGGGATTCTGCCGGGAAGGAAGCAGGAAGTTTGAGGGTTTGGTGGCACCGGGCCGCCATAGACGTTAGCCCGTGTCTCCACTATTGAGCTATTTGGCTTGTATTCTGCTAGTGGTTCTCAACCTGGGGTCCCCATATGTTTTTGGCCTACAACTCCCAGAAATCCCAGCCAGTTTACCAGCTGTTAGGATTTCTGGGAGTTGAAGGCCAAAAACATCTGGGGACCCCAGGTTGAGAACCACTATCTAGGCCCTTAATCATAACTGTCATGGTGTGGGAGCCTGAATATAGTAATAAAGACCCTTCTGTCAAATCCAGTACAGAAAGTGGGCTCGAATAGTCAGGAAAAGTGACATCAATTGGACTAGAATCCGATTTTTCCATTTGGAAAAGACACTTAGAGGTTGTCTAACCCAACACAGGTGGAGTTGGAATGCTTCCAATGTGAAGATACTATATAAATAAATTTTGTGTGTGTGTGTGTGTGTGTGTGTATAAATAAATAAATAAAGAAATATAAAAATAAAGCTGTCCCCTGCTATGCGTTGTTGTGGCCCAGTCTGGTGATCTGGAAAATAAAGTAATGAGAAAGTGTTGGTTTCTAATATATGCAATTTCTTTATGCTTGTGGGTAAATAGTACTTCTTGCTGCATCTTTTCCTGGTTTGCCTACTCTGTAACATGCAACATATAATTGTCCTTCTTTAGGGGTCCCTTTCAAATCTATAATACTATAATAATATTTATTTATACCCCGCCACCATCTTCCCCAAAGGGACTCGGGGCGGCTTATATGAGGCCTAGCCCAACAACACATCAATAAAACAACAAAGCAGTAAGCAAATAAAACAATACAGTTAATATAACTCATATCTCTGTGTGTGAATCATATATATCTATCTATCTCTATGGCTGGATGGCTCTTTGTCAGGAGGGCTTTGATTATGTTTTCTTGCCCTGGTGAAGGGAGTTTTGGACTGGATGGCCTTAAGTATTTTCTGTTGGCCATGGGGGTTCAGTGTGGGAAGTCTGGTTCAATTCTATCGTTGGTAGGGTTCAGAATGCTCTTTGATTGTAAGTGAACTATAAATCCCTGCAACTGCCAAATGTCAAGGTCTATTTCCCCCAAACTCCATCTGTGTTCATATTTGGGCATATGGAATATTCATGCCAAGTGGATGTAGGTGAACTACAACTCCCAAACTTAAGGTCAATGCCCACCAAACCTTTCTAGTGTTTTCTGTTGTTCATGGGAGTCCTATGTGCCACATTTGGTTCAATTCCATCATTGGTGGAGTTCAGAATGCTCTTTGATTGTCGATTAACTATAAATCGCAGCAACTACGACTCCCAAATGACAAAGTCAAATTTTTTTTAGCTATGATCACTCCTTGGGGTAGTAGGTGTCTTGTGGCCAAATGTGGTGTCAATTCGTCCAGTGGTTTTTGAGTTATGTTAATCCTACAAACGAACATTACATTTTTATTTATATAGATATATATGCATGTATACACTAGCTGTCCCCTGCCATGCGTTGCTGTGGGCCAGGCTGTGTATATTTGTTTCGTGTGTGTATATATGTATATAAATGTATGGTTTTGTGCATGCGTTTTAATTATTTTATTTTTTAGCTTTTTAAGTCCCTTCCGCTGCGATTTTATGAGTGATGGTCACTCATTGGCCTCAAAGGTGTCTTGTGTCCAGATTTGGTGTCAATTTGTCCAGCGGTTTTTGAGTTATGTCAATCCCACAAACTAACATTACATTTTTATTTATATAGACTATCCGTACCCGCCACGCATTGCTGTGGCCAACTTTCCTCCCTCTTTCTCCCCTTTCTTTCTCTCCATCCTTCTCTCTTTCCTTCCTTTCCTATTTTTCTTTCCTTCTCTCCTTCCTTCCTTCTCTACCTCTTTTCTTCCTTCCCCTCCCTTTTTCTTTCTCTCCTTTCTTTCTTCTCTACCTATTATTGGACTGTAACTCCCAGCAGTCTTCCTGATTGATTGATTGATCTATCTACCTACTATCTATATTGAATCTATATATCTTAACTATCAGGAGTATTGCTGGGAGTTGCAGTCCAGGAATAGGAAATACATATGGATTGGGATGCTCTCAAATAAAGGAGAAGCAAACTTGCAGCTTGAAGCAGTGCATTTGGAGCATCCTCCTCCCCTAAAGGGCCTGGTGTAGGGGATGCGCTGTATTTTCATGCATGCGCTGTATCGTCATTTTGCTTTTTGGGGTTTTTACGTTCTTTATGCTGTTTTTTGGGAGGGGTTTATGAGTGATGGTCACTCGTTTGTCTGTTAGGGGTGTAGTGTCCAAATTTCATGTCAATTTGTCCAGTGGTTTTTGAGTTATGTTAATCTCACAAACAAACATTACATTTCTTTATTTATATAGATATATATATTAATACAGTGGTTCTCAACCTGTGGGTCCCCAGGTGTTTTGGCCTTCAACTCCCAGAAATCCTTACAGCTGTTAAACTGGCTGGGATTTCTGGGAGTTGTAGGCCAAAACATCTGGGGACCCACAGGTTGAGAAGCACTGTATTAATGTAATAATACATTAGAACTTTTTTTTTTTTTTTTTTGAAAAATTTGGCTTGTGGAAACAAGGCTTGGTGAGAAAGCTTCAGTGAAAACACCTTTTCCATATGATAACTCGTTCAGGAGTGAATTTCCCTTCCTGGAGGTCGATTTCTCTCACTTCCTGTTGTCTCGGTCTCCTTCCCCCCCCCCCCTCACACACACATCTGTTCTTAACTATGAGTGGTTTGTAAGTTTGATGTTTGTAACTCGAGGACTGCCTGGACTGTCAAAGATTGTTTAGTTGTGCTATTATACTATTGAAATGAATAAACTTTTAGAGCAGGGTCTTGCACTAGTGGGTGGTAAGGAAACATTGCATTATTTTGAAAGTAGCCAGAAAGTAACAGATGTTAGAAGTTTGGGATGCTGTGGCTAACAGTATTTTTAAATCTCTGTCTTGTAATAGGACGTGGTGGTTCGTCCGGTGCGAAGTTTCGCATCTCCCTTGGTCTCCCTGTGGGAGCAGTTATCAACTGTGCAGATAATACAGGTATGTCATGCATATGTAGCCTTGGAAAACCCATTTTTCATATTTGGAGCTCAAACTTTGGGATGCTGGTGGTAATAGTGGCTGCCATCTTGTTGCCTTAATCAGGGACTGAGTGGTCTTATCAGTCACATAGTAATATGAAGAGCTTACCTGTTACAAATTTTGCTGGGTGGTTTTATATGTTTCAAAACCGAAAGTATACAAACATTCAATCCTTGGAAACTTAAAAGCAGAACACTTGCTATGAAGAAAAGATTCCAGTTTCCTGGAATTACTGGAAAAATCCCGTAGAGCAGTGTTTCTCAACCTGGGGGTCGTGAGGGGATGTCAGAGGGGTTGGCAAAGACCATTGGAAAACACAGTATTTTTTGTTGGTCATGGGGATTCTATGTGGAAGTTTGACCCAATTCTATCCTTGGTGGGGTTCCGAATGCAGGGAGAACCTCTTTGATTGTAGGTGAACTATAAATCCCAGTAACAACAACTCCCAAATGTCAAGTCTATTTTCCCCAAACCCAACCAGAGTTCACATTTGGGCATATTGAGTATTTGTGCCAAGTTTGGTCCAGATTCATCATTGTTTGAGTCCACAGTGCTCTCTGGATGGAGGTGAACTACAACTCCTAAACTCAGGGTCAGTGCCCACCAAAATATTCCAGTATATTCTTTTGGCCATGGGAGTTCTCTGTGCCAAGTTTGGTTTAATTCCATCATCGGTTGAATTCAGAATGCTATTTGATTGTAGGTTAACTATGAATCCCAGCAACTACAACTCCCAAATGACCAAAATCAATCCCCCATCCAACCCCACCAGGATTCAATCTTGGGCGTATTGGGTATTTGTGCCAAATTTGGTCCAGTGACTGAAATCACAACCTGCATATCAGATATTTACATTATAATTCATAACAGCAGCAAAATTACATTTATGAAGTAGCAACGAAAATAATGTTATAGTTGGGGGTCACCACAACATGAAGATCTATCTGTATTAAGGGGTCGCGGCATTAGGAAGGTTGAAAACCACTGCTGTAGAGCTAATGCCAACCAATGTAGACAGTTCAGGCTTCAATGGAGAAGTGGTCTGACTTGCTGTAAGCAACCTATGTGCCTGGAAGGACATCAAAGTTCTAATGCTGGCAGCAACCTTGTATTGGGATAATTTGTCAAGCATTCCAAATTTAGGTGTAACTCCAAGAGTTGCAGCAGGAGGGGAAAATTGCTTGGGTGTTCATATTTTTCATTTCTGGATTTGGGTTTTTTTTAAAAAGATGTTTCGGTGCGGCAGGCCCGTAGCCAGGATTTTGATTCAGGAGGGGCTGAGTTTGATTCGGGGAGGGGGGGGGGGCTGAGTCTGAGTGAAAGAGGGTCTACCCTAGCAAACCTTTTGTATCATTACCCCAATACCCCCATGCATATGGGATATATTGAGTATGGTGATCAGATCATGATATGAATAAACATAACACTTTAAATAATGTACCAGTAAGGCCTTCTCGTGGACCACCCTGAGAATTTCGGGGGGGGGGGGGCTGATGTCCCTCAAGCTCCCCCCCCCCCCAGCTACATGCCTGCGGTGCAGAAAAACACCTTAGTCCATGTAATATTTGAGTGTGCATATGAAAAATGAATTAAGTACTCATTAAGTCAAAAGAAGCCTCCACAATATCCCACTGGTTTTGTGACTTCAGTTATTTTTATTCCTCTTAGATAGGTATAGGGCATGCATGGGGAAAATGCAGTCCCTCAAGATCAGGGGTCTACAAACTTTTAAAACAGGGCCAGGTCACAGTCCCTCAAACTGTTGGAGGGCCAGATTATAATTTGAAGAAAAAAAACATGAATGAATTCCTATGCACACTGCACGTGAAAGCACTTAAAAATAATAATTAGATGAAGAACAATTTTAACAAATGTTAACTTATTAGTATTTCAATGGAAAGTGTGGCTGAAGAGATAGGGTTGTTGTTGTGTGCTTTCAAGTCGTTTCAGACTTAGGTTGGAGCCCCCGGTGGAGCAGTGGGTTAAACCCCTGTGCAGGCAGGACTGAAGACCCACAGGTCACAGGTTCAAATCCGGGAAGAGGCAGATGAGTTCCCTCTATCAGCTCCAGCTCCTCATGTGGGGACATGAGAGAAGCCTCCCACAAGGATGATAAAAACATCAAATCATCCAGGCGTCCCCTGGGCAACATCCTTGCAGACGGCCAATTCTCTTACACCAGGAGTCACTCCTGACACGACAAAAAAAAAAAAAAGACTTAGGTCGACCCTGAGTGAGGGCCAGGTAAATGATCTTGGAGGGCTGTTTCCTCCCCCCCCCCCCAAACCTTAGTTTGAGGACCCCTACTCAAGACTGTTTTCAAAGCAACCTGATGTTGGTTTTTCTGGCAAAAAAAAAAAGTTAATTCCCTCTGTTGGACACTTACAGGAGCAACTTGCAGCATCCCCACCATTTGTTTATCATGAAAGATAACCGGTTTTTCAAAGCATTGGGGTCCTAATTATTTCCACTTTTCTTTTCTTTTTTTTGGGGGGGGGGGGGTCATTTTACTAATATGTAATAGAAGCAGCTCTGCTACAATTAACCATTTTGGTGTAAGGCTTTGCCGAGTTTATTTTAGTGGTTGTGGAACCTTTATCAGAAATGTGATCTTCAGTATGGATCATTATTATTATTATTTGTAAAGTGGGAAAAATGCCTTTGCTTTCTAAACCAGGCACGGGCAAACTTCGACCCTCCAAGTATTTTGGAATTCAGCTCCCACAATTCCTAACAGCTGATAGTTTGCACATGCCTGTTCTAAACAGTTCAACCCTTTAAATTTAGTATTAAGCCTCAGTAGTACTGACAAGGTAAAAGGTAATGGAATGCCTAGAAACACTAGGCTCTCCCCTTCTGAAAAGCACTTGCTGGGTCTATCCCCATGGCCCAGGGAGTTGTCGTGGAAGGGTATAGCAACAGCACTGCTTTTGGGTGAGGTGACAGCTTGTGCCTGTTTGTCTCAATCGGTGGTGTGACACATACCTCAGGAGGTCATCGCTTTAACTCTGGCATGGAAAGTTAGTAGAATGATGATTCTTTTTTAATTCAAAGGGGCCAAAAATTTGTACATCATCTCCGTGAAAGGAATTAAAGGGCGGCTGAACAGACTGCCAGCTGCTGGCGTGGGCGACATGGTAATGGCTACTGTGAAGAAAGGCAAGCCGGAACTCAGGAAGAAGGGTAAGTGGTGGAAGACAATGGATTTGCAGATTTGAAACTTCTTCGTTTGATTGCCATAGACCGCATAGAAAAGAAACAGTTGACTGTAAAGGAGATTGTTGTTGTGCCTTGTATTCATGAAAAATCAGAGTTGATTTGAGATTCATTCACCTGCTTCAGCCTGAATTCCTGCCATTTTCCTTCCCTCTTCAGAGCTTCCACTCTGTCTGTGAGAGCCAAAGCCATATTAGTAGCACATTTTCCCCCAATTAATATTTTGTGTAGTTCACCTGTGGTCATTCGCCTGAAGGCCATGGAAAAGACTGTATTCACCACCAGTCACATCTAAGAAGTAGATAATGTCCTTTTGGCCCCTTTATTTTTTAAATGCTTGTATGTTATTGTTATTGTTTATTTTTGTTTTGAGATTTATTTTACTGTTTTGTGTTGATAATTTTGTTATTGCCTTTGTTTTATTGATGTACTGCGGGCTTGGCCTCATGTAAGCCGCACCGAGTCCCTTGGGGAGATGGTAGCGGGGTACAAATAAATTATTATTATTATTATTATTTATTCACTATGTAATAATCAAAATTGAGTTGTTGGATATAACTGAAAAATAGAACTGATGAGCACACGCAAATGTGTCACTGTCCAGATTCTCATTGATTGGGTGAATGCACTTAATCCTTTATTTCAGACTAAAGGATGCATAGCTGTTCTTCCCAGTTTTAATTTATCTATTGAATTTACATTTTCTCTTAATGACCTGTAGTGCATCCGGCGGTGGTGATTCGGCAGCGGAAATCATACAGGAGAAAGGACGGGGTGTTCTTATACTTCGAAGACAATGCGGGGGTGATAGTAAACAACAAAGGGGAAATGAAAGGTATGAATGCTGGGAGATGGGGAAACAGAGAAAAATTGGTGAATTTTATTTTCAGATACTCATCTGAATCATTGCATATGTACTGCGTATACTCAACTATAAGCCTAGTTTTTCAGCCCCTTTTTTAGGCTGTAAAAGCCCCCCTCTGTTTATACTCGAGTTAAGGTTTTTATTTTACTCTGTTATTATTTTATTACATTTATCATTTACTCTTGTTATTATTACATTTGCCATTTTACTTTATTATTATTACATTCATTATTTTGCTCTATTATTATTGGAAGGATACATAAGTACATTTACACCGAGGAAGGTTAGAAATATGGTTTAATCGGAGTTGGGCAGTCTTATCTTAAATTACAGTTTTATGTAAATATTCAAAAACATTTAACCTACTAACGTGCCAATTAATGTAATTGTATTGTATCTATTTTTATTTTGAAATTTACCAGTAGTTGCTGCATTTCCCACCCTTGGCTTATACTTGAGTCAATCTGTTTTCCCAGATTTTTGTGGTAAAATTAGGTGCCTCAGCTTATATTCGTTTCGGTTTATACTTGAGTATATACAGTATTTGCTTTGCGGAAATAGTCCACATAATTGTTTCATGGGGCAATTCCTTAACACTCCTTAATGATTTTTTTTCAACTATCTTTTCCAGGTTCTGCTATCACAGGCCCTGTAGCCAAGGAATGTGCAGATCTGTGGCCCAGGATTGCCTCAAATGCCGGCAGCATTGCATAAAACTTGCGTTCTTTCTAAACATTCAATAAAATTGGTTGTACCAAATATTTGCCTTTCAACTCAATGTGACAACTTTCCATGTGGCAGGGAAGTAGTTTGTGAGTTGGCTTCTTGACTCCTGTTGACAAGAGAACATTGGAATGGAAGACTTTGCCTCCCAGGCTGCAAGATTAACATAACATTGGTCCAAGAACTGTGGGAACAGGTTACATTTTTCACATTTTATTTATTCATGATTTACTCAATCACGAAGCATACTAAGTGACTTTGAGCCAATCTCTAGCTCTCAGTCTAACTGACCTCAAAGGGTTGGTGGGAGAAAATAAATCACATGTGCTGAATTGAGCATTTTGAAATTAAGGTGGAAATTTAAATGAGTTCAGCTTTTCTATGTGGCTAACTTTCCTTATCAGAGAAGTAAATTTCATGTATTGGATTCTTAACCTTTCATATACAGTCAGTTCATCATATTTGTGGGTTTAACTTTTGCAGATTTGATTAATATGATCTGTCTAGGAATCTCTAGTTTCTCCTGTCTATGTCACCTGCCAGAAATTGATAATACTCGCGTTTCTTCACTTTTGGAGTTCCTGTGCCTCTAATTCCTAGTGAAATAGTTTTTTACTTTGTGATCTGTATTGAATATCTGTAACTCAGTTCAATTTACTGTGTGAGAACCCTTATATTTATGGAGGAAGCAGCATTGGTGTAATCCATTTGTGGGTCTGACCCACCAAGAATTGAAATCTTATCCCTCACTTATCCAGATGTTAGTAAAACATGCTACAGCTGGCATTTAAATAATCGAGGCACACATGAAGGTATCTCCAGTGTGTGTCTGCAAGGGAACATTCATATATCTGATGAGCAACTACTAGGGGTACGTGGAGGGACTCTTTATCCCACAAGTCAAATACAATTTTTGCAATACTCCAGCAAAAAGATTTTTGCTCTAAAATGTCGACTAGTGGTTCTCAACCTGTGGGTTCCCAGATGGTTTGGCCTTCAACTCCCAGAAATCCTAACAGCTGGTAAATTGGCTGGGATTTCTGGGAGTTGTAGGCCAAAACACCTGGGAACCCACAGGTTGAGAACCACTGCACTAGAGGGTATGAGATGTATTTCTACCAATTTTTTTGGCTTCTGGCCCAATTTAGGCCAATGAAAGGGCCTTTTAAAAATGGAAAACATTGTGAAAGTGCACATAACTCCTAAAGGTTTTTTTTTTTTTCAGGGGCAGATGCAGCCCTCAATCCACAGTTGCTCCCCACTGATCTAGATCACTGCTTTTTAAACTGGGTCCTGACGCCAAATATCCCTTTAGCTCAATGTTGGGAGTCACAAAAAATTGGCAATAGTAAAAGGTTTCTGAGCACCCGCAAATGTAAAACTGTTAGCAACAATGTGCAGTGTTTACATTGGACTCTGAAGAAAATGCTTCAGCTATACTCTACAAAAATCAGCCTATTTAGCAAGCTTTACAATTCTGATTGTTTCTAATTAATGTTTGATTTTTTACTTATATACGTATATATCTGGAGTCACGGGTCACTAGTGGAAAAGGTTTAAGGAATCTTGATCTAGACTTTAGCCAGTGGAAGGCTGCAGCTCCCACTTCCAAACATACTTCCGTTTCCTACACCTGTGATACAGAATTGTGAATCTCTAACTTTTTAGTCACTAGCTATGTGAGTTTACTAAATGCTGTAGACATGCTTTCAACTCATTTAAATCCATCAAGTACAGTAATCCAAGTGGATTTCTTCCCAATAGTCATCCTTGCAATTACAAATATGCGCAGGTCCAGTGGGAATGTTAAAGTGCTGATAAAGCCCCCAAATGAGGTATGTTTCGATAAATAAGGGCAATTATTACGTACTTTCATAGTTATTCAGTAAGGTATGAATTCTATGCCATATGCCAGCAAATATGGAAAACACAAGAATGGCCATCAGATTGGAAAAAATCAACTTATTACCCCCATACCAAAAAAGGGAAATGCTAAAGACTGCTCAAATTTCCGTACAGTGACCCTTATTTCCCATGCCAGTAAGGGAATGCTCAAGATCCTGCAAGGAAGAGTCCAGCAATACATGGAGAGAGAGTTGCCAGATGTACAAGCTGGGTTTAGAAAAGGCAGAGGAACGAGAGACCAAATTGCCAATATCCGCTGGATAATGGAGAAAGGCAGGGAGTTTCAGAAAAACATCTATTTCCGTTTTATTGACTATTCTAAAGCCTTTGACTGTGTGGATCATAATAAATTGTGGCAAGTTCTTGGTGGCATGGGGATACCAAATCACCTTGCCTCTATCCTGAGGAATCTGTATAAGGATCAAGTAGCAACAGTAAGAACTGACCATAGAACAACAGACAGGTTCAAGATTGGGAAAGGCGTACGGTAGGGTTGTATACTCGCCCCAAACCTATTCAACTTATATGCAGAACACATCATGCGAATGCAAGGCTGGGGTTAAAATTGCTGGAAGAAACATTAACAACCTTAGATATGCAGATGACACCACTCTGATGGCCGAAAGCGAGGAGGAGCTGAGGAGCCTTCTAATCAAGGTGAAAGAAGAAAGCGCAAAAGCTGGGTTGCAGCTAAACATAAAAAAAAAACAAGATTATGGCAACAAGAGTGATTGACAACTGGGAAATAGAGGGAGAAAACGTGGAGGCAGTGACAGACTTTGTATTTCTAGGTGCAAAGTCTGCAGATGCAGACTGCAGCCAGGAAATCAGAAGATGCTTACTTCTTGGGAGGAGAGCAATGACCAATCTTGATAAAATAGTGAAGAGTAGAGACATCACACTGGCAACAAAGATCCACATAGTTAAAGCAATGGTATTCCTCATAGTCACCTATGGATGTGAGAGCTGGACCATAGGGAAGGCTGAGCGAAGGTAGATAGATGCTTTTGAACTGTGGTGTTGGAGGAAAGTTCTGAGAGTGCCTTGGGCCGCGAGAAGATCCAACCAGTCCATACTTCAGGAAATAAAGCCTTGACTGCTCATTGGAGGGAAGAATAGTAGAGGTCAAGATGAAGTACTTTGGCCACATCATGAGAAGAAAGGAAAGCTTAGAAAAGACAATGATGCTGGGGAAAATGGAAGAAAAAAGGAAGAGGGGCTGACCAAGGGCAAGATGGATGGATGGTATCCTTGAAGTGACTGGATTGACCTTGAAGGAGCTGGGGGTGGTGACGGCCAACAGGGAGCTCTGGCGTGGGCTGGTCCATGAGGTCACGAAGAGTCGGAAACGTCTGAACGAATGAATAACAACAATAAATAAATTCTATACACAGTAACAAATTATTTTGAGACTAGGACAGCTATGAGATAATATTTAAATTCTTAGCTTTAGTTTTTATACAGACTTTTAGATTAAAATTATTACCATCTCCAAGTGTAGGAAAATTAGCAAGGCAGAGAAAAATGCTTTACAAGTGACCATTATTTGACTTTAAGGATGTGACTTAGATATATGTCAAAGTTGAGAAAAGCCCTCAACTTTTTTGTTTTTAGAGATTCCTTAACAAGGAAAGGATGTTTGTGATTCTGGGAAGCCTTCCTCCACAAAACTTAAGGCCGTGTTTGTCAGTAGGATCCATGGACCACAAGTGCTTTTTGAGTAAGGAAGCTTTTAGTGTATTAGCAACCTCTTCCCTCGGTTGTCAGGGAGCAATTGTCTTCTGATAGCATCACAGTGACCCGGGCAAGGCAATGGTTGCCAAGGTTAGGGTTACTAAGGAGATGATGGAAAGGGGAACCTAGTACATTTGGAGAGATAGTTGATGGTTTTTCCTCTTGCCTGAGCAACCATGACTTGTGTTACACGAAGATGCCTACAGAGACAGAAGGAATTTGTCCTCGACGGTGTGGCCGTGGACACCATTGCTAGCAGCTACACCACCATTTTGCCCAAAGTGTGGTCTGCCTTGCCACCTTACAACGCGCAGCTGGATATCCATGCGGCCAGCTACTTTTCATCCCCAGTGGTCAAGTCAGTGCTAAAGAAAACTGAACAGGTAAGAATATCAAGTGAAAATTGAGACAGAAACAGGTGGAGCTGTGGTGGGCTAGAACAGAATTTGCTGCCTTCTCTTCCCAGCAAAATAGTCAATATTTGTATAGAATTACTTTTTTCATATCTCCAGATAGCCTGTAGTTTACTGAACTTGTCATATCACAGTTGCAGCATACTACGTTTAGTATTATTCAATGTCAATTGCTGTATTTGTGAGATAATGATCTCCACTTGGTTGTGCCTGGCATTGAAAGTAGAGGATGTGTGCTATTTTAGTTTATTTAATCTTGAGCTATATGTCCATGGTTGCCTTCAAATTGACAGGTAACTTATAGTGACCCCATTAATATTACAGCAATTTCCTATAGATAATAAGACTATATTTTTAGTGGATAACCTTGAGACATGATCTCAACCACACTAGAGCTGCCAGAGTACATTAATCATTTAGTGCTTCTGAACATGTAAATAATATTTTTCCACTTCTGCATGCCCCCAGTGGCGCAGTGGGTTAAACCCCTGTGCCGGCAGGACTGAAGACCGACGGGACACAGGTTCGAATCTGGAGAGAGACAGATGAGCTCCCTCTATCAGCTCCAGCTCCTCATGAGGGGACATGAGAGAAGCCTCCCACAAGGATGATAAACACAAATCATCTGGGCATCCCCTGGACAACGTCCTTGCAGACAGCCAATTCTGTCACACCAGAAGCGACTTGCAGTTTCTCACGTTGCTCCTGACACAACTAAAAAAAACCCAAATTTCTGTGTCAGAAAGCACCACGGTGTTTCTAGTGAAGGCGCTGTCCTTGGTTATTTTGAATGCCTCTTGACCTTAATTATAAAAGTTTCTGTCTTAGGAATTAGAAAAAAACCCAGTTGATCCCTTTTTTATTTATGATTCTGAATCCAACTAGAAATTACAAACATTAACAATTTTAATTAGTTAAACAAACATATATTGTGTAACTTTTTTGCCCCAAGTTGGGGGGAAAAAATTCATTCCAGATGTTGAATTTAGATTTCTGGTTTAACTGTTTTCCAGGCATCTCTACAAATGCCCATCTATTAAGAATACAGAAGGAGAAAAATATACATCACTTTTGGCCAATAAAATCAAGCCCAATTAAAAAGTAATTTCCAAAGATATTTAGGCATTGAGTCATCTGTCATTCTGTTACAGTCATATTTAGCTCCTTTCTGTGGCCTTTTCTCTTTGAGCATGGTGCAAGAATACTCAGTTAGTTGTAAGAAACTCTTGGGCATTTAAATATAATACCTCTTATGTGGGTTGGTCCTAAATTGGTAACCTACCAGTTTTGCCCAGGTTTGATGGGGCTAAAACTCACATCTATTGGGGGATGATAGAAGTTGCAGTCCACATTTGGCTAATGCTAGGATGGAGGCTGCATTAGTTCATATGCACAAACTAGGGCAGAAGTAGGAGTTATTGGATGGTATTGAACAGTAGCTCCTAACCAGGGTTAGCTAATGACACCGTATGTGAAATTTGCAGTCCAACAACTTTTGGAGGACCAAACAGCTTTGCTTCAGCATTCTTGATCTCACACTTCTCTCTCCCTTCATTGTTCCTAATACAATCCATGGTGACCCTTCTTCCCCTTCTTGGAATGTCTTTGTTCATCTCTGATGTCACAGCTGTCTCTGTGACCTCACTATAAGCATACCACCCCTTCCATTAATCCAATTGCTTAGGAAAAGAGGAGGAAAACATCAGGCAATAAAGAAAGTAAGAAGGACTTCTTCCATTACTTTGAGCTTCTCGTTTTCTTACAACTGAATATATCCAAGAACAATAAGTTATTGTAGCACCTACAATGTTAAAAAAAAGTTACACTATATGCATTCATGAATTCCTTTATGGAGGATTATTTTGTATTGCAGGAATAGGCACCTGTAATAGATAAGAGAAGTATTTTTCTGCCTTGGTGCCTTCTGGGGATCACAAAACCAAGTGACTAGATATCTACTTCTGTTTTTGAGAAAAAAGTATTTTTAAATGTTAAAATAGGGGACGCAACCTATTCAACTTGTATGCAGAACACATCATTTGATGTGCAGGGCTTGACGAATGCAAGGTTGGGGTTAAAACTGCTGGAAGAAACATTAACAACCTTAGATATGCAGATGATACCACATTGATGGCCAAAAGCAAGGAGGAGCTGAGGAACCTTCTAACCAAGATGAAAGTGCAAAAGCTGGGTTGCAGTTAAACATAAAAAAACCAAGATTCTGGCAACTGGACTGATTGATAACTGGCAAATAGAGGGAGAAAACTTGGAGGCAGTGACAGACTTTTGTATTTCTAGGTACAAAGATTAGTGCAGATGCAGATTGCAGCCAGGAAATCTGCACGTTTACTTCTTGGGAGAAGAGCAATGAAAATCTCGATAAAATAGTGAAGAGTAGAGACATCACACTGGCAACAAAGATCCGCATAGTTAAAGCAATGGTATTCCCTATAGTCACCTACAGATGTGAGAGTTGGACCATAAGGAAGACTGAGCGAAGGAAGAGAGATGCTTTTGAACTCTGGTGCTGGAGGAAAGTTCTGAGAGTGCCTTGGACAGCGAGAAGATCTAACCAGTCCATACATCAGGAAATAAAGCCCGACTGTTCATTGGAGGGAAGGATATTAGAGGCAAAGATGAAGTATTTTGGCTACATCATGAAAAGACAGGAAATATTAGAGAAGACAATGATGCTGGGGAAATGGAAGGAAAAAGGAAGAGGGCTGACCAAGTGCAAGATGGATGGATGGCATCCTTGAAGTGCCTGGCTTAACTTTGAAGGAGCTGGGGGTGGTGATGGCTGACAGGGAGTTCTGGTGTGGGCTGGTCCATGAGGTCACAAAGAGTTGGAAGCAACAAAAAAAAACAACAACAAAAAACAAAAAAGCAACAAAAAAAGGACTCTACAGCTTATTTAAGATAATAAACCACTATTTTGAAAGAGAGCTGCATGAAGCCCCAAAGCCATTATTTCATCACTCCCTACTTTTGTGGTTGGTGTTTCTACATATTAGTTGTGGGATGGAGACTGGAGCTAAGTGAGATCAGAGACAAGTGTCTACTGAAATATATAACAGCTATGCTGTTTAGTTTGCTTTTATGTAATTATCATAGTGTCAGTGGCCTATGGTCTATGTGTTAGTGTGGGATTTATCCATCACACAAGATGGGGTAACCACTTTAGTATTTTCCATCCTATTTTCCCAGATCCCTCTGGCTAATCACACACATATGTATGTCTCTTTAAGATTATACTTCATAAGTAAATGTGAATCTGGCAATTCCTTTGGAGATTGAAAATATTAAAAATTAACATGTTGCTGATACTATGTGGATTAATCGGTCAGGTCTGTGTTTTTCTTGGGCTTGTTATAGACTCGTGGGGGGACCTCCAGAGATGGCTGGATAGTGGATTATTTCCATATCTATGGGCCAGGACAGAGGTACTTGAACAGGAGAAACTGGGCAGGAGCAGGTGAGCAGTCTTTTATGTATCCTTTTATTCATCCTTTATTTCATTTGCAGTTTTCTTCCATGTTACTATATATCAGGATGGGGACTGCCTTGTTGATCAGATATTGATCTAGGCAAGACAGTCATTTCGGGGTCACCCCAAAAACTAGTGTGGTCTCCACCCGCTTGCCATACCTCTAGTGATGACACCAAGTATCTCAAAATAATTTGCCACAAATCAATAAGAATCCCCATTACTATTTTTTTTTGATTATAAGAAATAATAATTCAGCTTTTGCTTATTTACTTTGTACTCAATGCTTGTTTTTCTTTATGCACAGGTCATTCTCCACAACAAGTGGCTGGTCACCATTACTATTTGATGGATGCCAAGCCTATCAGTGGGTACAGTGGCCGATATGGTTACCGCCGCAACACGCCTGCCCTTCGCAATCGTTCTTCTTGCTTTGGTGAAGTCACCTTGTACCCCCTCCACTGAATAGCAAACAGTATCTTCCTGTGATGTTTTTTTCATTATTTTTTCCATAATAAAAAAATATTACTAATTTCCTTATATTGTTGAATGCTTTCATGGCCAGAATCACTGAGTTGCTGTGAGGTTTCACAACCTGTGAGGATGCCATGGTGGTCCACGCTCTCATTAGATCTAGGATAGACTACTGCCACGTACTCAACGTGGGGTTGCCTTTGAAGACTGCTCGGAAGCTTCAAATAGTCCAACGAGAGGCAGCCAGGTTAATAACTGGGGCGGCAAACAGGGAGCATACAACTCCCAAGTTACTCCAGCTCTACTGGCTGCCAGTTTGCTACCGGGCACAATTCAAAGTGCTGGCTTTGACATATAAAGCCCTAAACGGCCCCAGCCCAAATTACCTGTCCAAATGCATCTTCCCCTATGAACCATCATGGAGATTAAGATCCTCCAGGGAGGCCCTGCTTTCCATCCCGCCATTGTCACAGGCACGATTGGTGTGGACGAGAGACAGGGCCTTCTTGGTGATTGCTCCCCAGCTATGGAACTTCTTTCCTGGTGAAATCAGGTCGGGCCCCTCCCTCCTGTCCTTTAGAAGGATGGTAAAAACTTGGCTGTGGGACCAGGCTTTCGGGACAGGGCAATAAAGCAGCAATAGGAAAGATTACCAGGCCAATTAGATTTGACGTGGATGACTAGGATGGTTTTAAATGGTGTATTTTAATATTTTGATAAATGTTTTTAATGTTTATGTATGTATTATAAGAATTTGTGTCCCGGAATTGAATGTTTGCCGTATATATGCTGTGCTCTGCCCTGAGTCCTCTTCGTGGTGAGAAGGGCGGAATAGAAATGTTTTAAATAAATAAATAAATGTTTGCCATAGATACAGGCGAAACGTCAGGAGAGAATGCTTCTGGAACATGGCCATACAGCCCGGAAAACTCACCGCAACCCAATTTGTTTATATCTAAATTAATGTTTGATTTCCACTATCACTGGAAACAAGAAGGTGAAGAGACAATGCAGTAAAATCTTTTGTTTGATGAAAAATAGTTTTGACTTCACACACCTTTGGATTGTGTCTTCAGTGGAGAAAATTTATGTCTGAGCCTACATTTAAGGTAGATTGTGTATTGACTTCAAAAAGAAACCCACAGCAAATCTGGGCCTCTTGAATCAACCCTCAAAGTGTCTTCTCCTACGGTTGCATTTGCGCCTCCCACGTCCTTTGGCATGTTCTTATGCACAGTCAAGCAGAAGGCCCACAGGACAACGGATGCTGCAGCGTGCAACTAGGATGAACTGAGACCAGGGATGTAGCTATTGATGTGAGGAAGGGAAAATGGGTGCATGACCTTTCTATCCCACCATTATTTTTTCCCCTTCAGTTCCCAAATTTCACACATTCCAGAAAGTGAGGTATTGAGAAATTCTTCACAATTAGAATTTTTATAATGGTTTTGTTCACATTTTCTTGACTAGCTCTTTTCTTTGAATGCTTAGATTCTCATTTCTAAATGCAATCCTACACATTTCAGGACTGAAAGAAAATGAAATGTGGCAGGTAGGATTACACAGTGCAACCACCATTTTTTTCTTGGTGTCATGGTTTTTACGCCTGTTCCTAGAGTTATCTGTGACACTGATTCAGAAAATGGCATTGGATAGATTGTGTCAGCTCTAGTTTTTTAGATATGGTTATCATGATTTTCTATGGACGAGCAGAAGAAGGCTGGTATATGGCATATGTTCTGTATCAAAAACTACAGCCAATAGGAGAAAACTTGTGCCATTTTTGGAATCCTCTAGTCAGATATACACAAAAGTAAATCTAACATTTGAATTTCAAAAATGTGTGTTGGCCAGTGTTATTTGTGGAGCAGTGCTCTCACCCTTGAATCAGCAAACCTCCAGTTGTAACTAGTGATTAAGCCAATCTGACAACAACCTATGGCCATTTACAAAGTCCACCTCTTAGCATGGCAAACCTATTTTAGTACTCCCACCACTGACAATCCCTCCTGATTGTAAATCTACAGTAGTGGTTCACTCCTGTATAAGTAGAGAAAGGAAGGGAGGGAAGGAGGGGGTTGGACAAGATGGCCTTTGGGGCTCCCTTCCAACTGGTTGGCCATCTGTTGTGAGGGCTTTGATGGTGTCTTCCTTTACTGCCAAATGAGGTCTTTATTACCCCCATCATGGCACCTTCCTCCTTCCCTTGTGCTGTGGGAGTGATGGTCACTCCTTGGGTTAGTAGGTGTATTGTGTCCAAATTTGGTACCAATTCATCCAGTGGTTTTTGAGTTATGTTAATCCCACAAACGAACATTACATTTTTATTTATATAGAAGAGTAGACGTCCCCTGCCATGCGTTGCTGTGGCCCAGTCTGGTGATCTGGAAAATAAAGTAATGGTTTCTAATATATGTAATTCCTTTATGCTTGTGGGTAAACAGTATTCTTTGTTGTTTCTTTGCCAGTGTTGATGTGGAGATTGTCTAGTTTGCCTACTCTGGAACATGCAACATATAATTGTCCTTCTTTAGGGGTCCCTTTCAAATCCATGATACAATATCAATTCTACAACAACTGCATTGGCTACCAATAGAACATCGGATCTCTTACAAGATACTGATCCTGACATTTAGAGCTCAAAATGGCCAAGGACCTTTATATCTTAGGGACCGCCTCATTCCTTTTTCCCATCAGTGGTCACCTCGATCCACCCAAGAAAATCTCCTATAGGGAGGTACACCTGGAAGCTACACGGCTTAGAGCTTTTTCAATCTATGCTCCAATTCTGTGGAATTCATTGCCTCCATACATTAGAGCAATGTCGGAGTTGCGACCTTTTGTAAAGCCGCTCAAGACTTGGCCGTTTGGTTGTGCATTTAAGTAAAGTGATCAGATCTAATTTGCCAAATAGTCAGTGTTGTATGTTTTTATGTTGAATGTTTTTATATTGTGTAAATGCTATTTTAAATTGTAAGTCGCTTGGAGCACCTTGGTGGAGAGTGACTAATTAAGAAATGAAGTGAAGTGAATATCTCTCTGTGTGTGTGTGTGTGTGTGACTCATATATCTATCTATATCTATGGCAGGATGGCTCTTTGTCAGGAGGGCTTTGATTACGTTTTCTTGCCCTGGTGAAGGGAGTTGGACTGAATGGCCTTACGTATGGTGGTTCTGTGTGGGAAGTTTGTCCCAATTCTGTCTTTCGTGGGGTTCAGAATGCTATTGTCGAAGGCTTTCATGGCTGGAATCACTAGGTTCTTGTAGGTTTTTTGGGCTATAGGGCCATGTTCTAGAGGCATTTCTCCTGACGTTTTGCCTGCATCTATGGCAAGCATCCTCAGAGGTAGTGAGGTCTGTTGGAAATAGGAAAATGGGTTTATATATCTGTGGAATGACTGGGGTGGGGCAAAGAGTTCTCTGCTGAAGCTAGGTCAACCCTCCTATTCAAGGAGCTCCACTGGCTGCTGTTTATTTTCTGAGCCCAATTCAAGGTACAGGTGCTTACCTACAAAGCCCTGAACGGTTTGGGACCATCCTACCTACGTGATCGCATCTCCGTCTATGAACCCACACGTTCACTCCGGTCATCTGGAGAGGCCCTGCTCGTGATCCCGCCCGCGTCGCAGGCGCGTTTGGCGGGGACTCGAGACAGGGCCTTTTCTGTGGTGGCCCCCCAACTCTGGAACGCCCTCCCAAAAGATCTCAGACAGGCCCCTTCGTTGGCAGTCTTCAGAAAGAACTTGAAGACCTGGCTGTTCCGATGTGCCTTTCCAGATTAGGAACCCCAATACCAAGTCCTAGAAGCACTTTAGTTGAACTAATGGCCGTTGCACACCGCACTCTGCACTTAATTTATAATCCTACATACCCACTGCCACATCAGCACTTTTAATCCTGTACCCATCACTCTGGCCTGGCCCAGTTTTATATTGTCTTTGATGTCTTTATGTATTGTCATTGTTGTTTATTTTTGCTTAATCTGTTTTTAATTTGCTCTATGTATTATATTGTTGTATTGTGTTTGAGGCCTTGGCCTATGTAAGCCGCATCGAGTCCTGCGGGAGATGCTAGCGGGGTACAAATAAAGTAATAATAATAATAATAATAATAATAATAATAATAATAATAATAGGTGTGAATGTTTCAGCTGATCACCTTCATTAGCTCATCCAGGCCTTCAAATGCTAATGAAGGTGGTCAGCTGAAACATTCACACCTAGCTTCAGCAGAGGAGAGCTCCTTGCCCCACCCCAGTCATTCCACAGATATATAAACCCATTTTCCTATTTCCAACAGACCTCACTACCTCTGAGGATGTTTGCCATAGATGCAGGCGAAACGTCAGGAGAAAATGCCTCTAGAACATGGCCCTATAGCCCGAAAAAACCTACAAGAACCTAGTTCAGAATGCTCTTTGATTGTGGGTGAACTATAAATCCCAGAAACTACAACTCCCAAATGTCAGGGTCTATTTCTCCCAAACTCCATCTATGTTCATATTTGGGCAGATGGAATACTCGTGCCAAGTTTGGTCCAGATCCATCAATGTTTGAGTCCAAAGTGCTCTCTGGATGTAGGTGAACTACAACTCCCAAACTCAAGGTCAATGCCCACCAAACCCTTGTAGTATTTTCTGTTGGGAGTTCTGTGCCCCAAGATTGGTTCAATGCCATAATTGCTGGAGTTCAGAATGCTATTTGATTGTAGCTGAACTATAAATCCCAGCAACTACAACTCCCAAATGACAATTTTTATTTATATAGAAGATGGATTCATTGCACTGGAATCCTTAGAAAGGAAAGCTTAAATGATACCAGTCTAAAGTGGACACATGCTTCCAGTCTCCAGGAATAAGCAAGGATCTAAACACACCCATCACAGGAATCCCTCTAAATATGGACATACGGGCCTCCAGTGACGCACTCCATGCGCGACAATAGCTCCTTTCATTGATTAAGACCTGGAGGCGGAGCTCTAGAGCGCTGCGTCATCGTTCTGCGCCAGCCAGAAGCAAAGAAGGAAGGAGAAGAGAGGGGAAGGCTGACCTGCGGCTGGAGGAGGCTCCGCGGCCAAGATGGGGGGAGGCGATCTGGTGAGGAAAAACTGGTTTTCTTAACTGATGGCCCTTCCACACAGCCATATAACCCAGAATATCAAGGCAGATAATCCACAATATTTGCCTTGAGCTGGGTTATCTGAGTCTACACTGCCATATAACCCAGTTCAAAGCAGATAATATGGGGTTTTATTCAGCTGTGTGGAAGGGGCCTGAGATTGTCTGCTTTGAACTGGATTATATGGCAGTGTAGGCTCAGATAATCAAATTCAAAGCAGATAATGTAGAGTTTTATTCAGCTGTGTGGAAGGGGACTGAGATTATCTGCTTTGAACTGGATTATATGGCAGTGTAGGCTCAGATAATCAAATTCAAAGCAGATAATGTGGGGTTTTATCCAGCTGTGTGGAAGGGGACTGAGGCCCCATCTACACTGCCATATAAAATCCAGATTATCTGCTTTGAACTGGATTATATGGTAGTGTAGGCTCATATAATCGAATCTGCTTTGATAATCTGGATTATATGGCAGTGGAGAAGGGGCCTGACTTGTTAGGACTCATTGTGAGAAGGGCAGCAGCTTCTTTTCCATTGGAGGAAGGATAAATTACACTATGTTACGAAATTTGAAAAGAAAAAATCTGTTCCTGGTTTGAAAGTGTTATTTCCTTTTTAATTGTGTGGTACTGACTTTGAAAGTAGTGGTTATACTCCATAAACTTTGTTTTTGTGGCTGCCACAAACTTATGTTGAATTTATTGAGACTATGAGATATTCATGGAAAAACTATAGCCAAATGTGCAACAGGATGTCCTACAAAAACAAAGTTTGTGCAGTTTAATAAACTTTTCCCATGTTTATGGGAAACACATGAGAAAAGTGTATTAAACTCCATGCAGTCATGCTGGCCACATGACCTTGGAGGTGTCTATGGACAACGCCGGTTCTTTGGCTTAGAAATGGAGATGAGCACCAACCCCAGGGTTGGACATGACTGGCCTTAATGTCAGGGGAAAACCTTTACCTATGTGTTTATGATATAGCCATTTAGGAAATGACATTTATAACCTAGGAACAAAAATCATGTTACATAGTGTTATGATGCAGCTATGGGACGTTGACAGGTATGCATTTTCTTTGTGACGCATTCTTTCTTTCCTTCTTTCCTTGCCTTCCTTCATACGCCTGCCCTCCCTTCCTTTCTTTCTTTTTCTTCCTTTCCTCTTCTTTCCTTCTTTCATTCCTTCCTTTATCCGTTTTTCATTTCCTTTCTCTTTCTTTTCTCATTCTTTTCTCTCCTCATACCTTTTCCCTTCATTTCCTACCCTCCCTGTTTTCTTCCCTCCCTAGCCATTGGATCAAGGATAAATTATGATAGGGATGGAGGGTGTTGCCTGGTATGCAGATAAAATTGTGAAGCAGTGATTCCTCTCTATATGCATCTGATATGGACTGTTACATTATACCAGGAGTTCTCAAACTTTTTAAACAGAGGGCCAGGTCACAGTCCCTCTAACTGTTGGAGGGCCAGATTATAATCTGGGGAAAAAATGAATGAATTCCTATGCACACCGCACTTATCTTATTTGTAGTGCAAAAAAACAAAACAAAAACCCCCCACTTAAAAACAATACAATAATTAAAATGAAGAACAATTTTAACAAATATAAACTTAGTAGTATTTCAATGGGAAGTGTGGGCTTGCTTTTGGCTGATGAGATAGGATTATTGTTGTTGTGTGCTTTCAAGTTGTTTCAGACTTAGGTTGACCCTGAGCGAGGGCTGGGTAAAGTCAGTATCCAGCCTCAGGGCCTTAGTTTGAGGACCCCTGCATTATACACTTGCACTGTCTTTACATTATACACTTGCACTGCCGGGTAAAGTCAGTATCCAGCCTCGGGGTCTTAGTTTGAGGACCCCTGCATTATACACTTGCATTGTCTTTACATTATACACTTGCACTGCTGGGTAAAGTCAGTATCCAAACTCGGGGCCTTAGTTTGAGGACCCCTGCATTATACACTTGCACTGTCTTTACATTATACACTTGCACTGCTGGGTAAAGTCAGTATCCAACCTCGGGGCCTTAGTTTGAGGACCCCTGCATTATACACTTGCACTGCATTTCTATGGAGCCCCCAGTGGCGCAGTGCGTTAAAGCTCTGTGCCGGCAGGACTGAAGACCGACAGGTCGCAGGTTTGAATCCGGGGAGGGGCGGATGAGCTCCCTCTATCAGCTCCAGCTCCTCATGCGGGGACATGAGAGAAGCCTCCCACAAGGATGATAAAACATCAAATCATCCAGGCGTCCCCTGGGCAACGTCCTTGCAGACGGCCAATTCTCTCACAACAGGATACTCCTGACATGACAATTTTTTAAAACTGTCTTTCTATGAGTTTTTTCCCCCTTTGGTGTGTTTCCTGTTCTTTAGGGGTGATGTTGGAGAATGTTTATTCAATGGCTTTTTTTCTTCTCAATAGAACTTGAAGAAAAGCTGGCATCCACAAACCTTGCGTAACGTGGAAAAAGTTTGGAAGGCAGAACAGAAACATGAAGCTGAACGCAAGAAAATCGAGGAGCTCCAACGGGAGCTGCATGAGGAACGAGCACGAGAAGAAATGCAACGCTATGCAGAGGATGTGGGCGCTGTCAAGTATGTTAGAGGGGATTTTATTGGCGGGTGTTTTTGTTTAGACCTTTAATGGAGTTAATTCTTCTCCAAGGCTTCGCCATGAGAACAGACCAGAAGCAAAACATGGGCAGGGTTCTCCAGAAAGAATTGACATGGTCAGAAAAATCATATTGCATACACTTTCCAGTACTCTATTATGTCAAGATATAAGTGCAGGAATGCAGTACCGTACTTCAAATATTTTATTTAAACTTTATTTTTAACTTGCTAGTTTTCTTTTTCTGCCGCTTTTGCTGAGCGGCAGAAACAGCCAGACGGTGAGAACTCTGCCTTAGAACTCCTGCCTGGGGCCAGCCTTTCCAAACATACTGGGCATGACCCCCACAGCTGTGCCATCTCACCTGACGCCAGCAGCAGATAAAACAGCCAGCACTAGGCCCAGATCCTGCTTTGCAATCCGTGTTAAGCCAATCAATAAGATCTTGGCACTATAGGACTTTTACCAACATAGATAGAGACACCTCACCATCATGAGAAAAAACACCCCCCCCCCATCTGCCTCACAAAGGACCTCATACCACCATTTATACCCCCCCTCCCCCCCATGAAGAGCTGGGTTGCATTCCTGTGCTTAAACAGTATTCAGAGGACTCCTTAATTTGTGAGGATCTGGGAATCTCTGGGAGGGCATAAAGACTGGGGGTGGATATTATGGGGAGATGTGTGTGGAAGGAGAGTGGTAACTAGACCCTTATAGGTCCTTTTTAACTTGTGGAATTGTGCAATATAATAATTTTCTTCGGCTGGCACCTTAATCACTCTGACTTGGACACCACCTCAGCCCTGTTGACTTGTAAATACCTTTTTACTTTTAATGTTTTGAGTGTTTGCTATCATTAGATCTAGTAGTAAACATGTTCTAAATGTTTGATTTATATGTTTGTTAAGTTGTCTAAGTTTGTTATTTTTGAGTTGTTCTATAAGTACACCTGATGTTGTTTATTTCATTGTTTATGATTTGATTTGTTTGTTATGTTATGCCAGCATTGATTGTTTGCCAATTTTCTGTTGTAAACTGCCCTGAGTCCCCTCGGGGAGATGGGGTGGTATAGAAATAAAGATTATTATTATTATTATTATTATTATTATTATTATTATTATTGTGGAGCCCCCGGTGGCGCAGTGGGTTAAACCCCTGTGCCGGCCGGACTGAAGACCGACATGTCGCAGGTTCGAATCCGGGGAGAGGCGGATGAGCTCCCTCTATCAGCTCCAGCTCCTCATGCGGGGACATGAGAGAAGCCTTCCACAAGGATGATAGAAACATCAATTCATCTGGGCGTCCCCTGGGCAACGTCTTTGCAGACAGCCAATTCTCTCACACCAGAAGCGACTTGCAGTTTCTCAAGTCGCTCCTGACACGACCAAATAATAATAATAATAGTAATTATTATTATTATTATTATTATTATTTACAATGGGTAAACCAGTCTGAACTCTTGTCTTCCTGTAGTCAGTGCCACTTCTGTTTGTTGATTAGCAGTAGAGCTATGAGTGGCAACTAAACTCCTCCCCATTTCTTTGACTAATATTTTGGCGTTTGAATAATGGCTCTTTTTAGTGTAAATGCCTTTTCTTTGCATTATTTTGAACATTTTCTTTCACATCATTTTCACCCTGAATGAATTAGGAAAAAAGATGAGAAGCTAGAATGGATGTACCAAGGACCGGGAGGCATGGTGAACAGAGAGGAATACCTTATGGGCCGCCCAGTTGACAAATATGTCTTTGAGGCAATGGAAGACAAGGAGGCAGGCTGTTCCTCTGAGACCGGCCTTCTGCCAGGCTCCATCTTTGCCCCTACGGGTGCCAACTCTGCCTTGGATATGGCCAGCAAAATCCGAGAAGACCCACTTTTCATGATAAGGTAACTAATGAATAATCTTACTTGAAAACTGACTAGTGTTCACAATGCACCATACCATAGGTTACAAAGGAGTTGTAAGCATGTATTGTCGAAGGCTTTCATGGCAGGAATCACTGGGTTGTTGTAGGTTTTTTCGGGCTATATGGCCATGTTCTAGAGGCATTTTCTTCTGACGTTTCACCTGCATCTATGGCAAGAATCCTCAGAGGTAGTGAGGTCTATTGGAACTAGGAAAATGGGTTTATATATCAGCGGAATGACCATTTTCCTAGTTCCAATAGACCTCACTACCTCTGAGGATGCTTGCCGTAGATGCAGGTGAAACGTCAGGAGAAAATGCCTTTAGAACATGGCCATATAGCCCGAAAAAACCTACAACAACCCAGTTGTAAGCATCTTTAGTATGAACACTCAGAAAACCTTATTTTTTTCTCGTGCTTCTCCCCAATGCTTCATCCTACAATATTGAACTGCATCCAAGAATATAGCAGAGTTGCTATTCCTGTCGTTAAATTCCACTGTATAATGTCTTTATATGTTTTCCCTCCTCTGGTTTTCATGTGCACGCAAATTTAATACCAGCATTGTTGTTCCTTTTTTTTTTTAGGAAGAGGGAGGAGGAAAAGAAACGGGAAGTTCTGAACAATCCAGTAAAAATGAAGAAGATCAAAGAATTGGTGAGTTAATGCTAAATATTTTTGAGAAAAGGTCAAAATACATAAGGAAAGTGAATTCTAGGACTTCTACTCTTTCTATGCTGTCTTCCAGTTAAAAGGAAATTCCATTGTGCTGGTGGATATTATTATTATTATTATTATTATTATTATTATTATTATTATTATTATTAACCTGCCCTCTCTCCCCAAAGAAACTCAGGGCAGCTTCCAAGAGGAGAAAAAAAAAGATAAAGCTACCAATATTCTGATGCTGTCTTAAATGTTAAGGTGCAGACACATTTGAAATTCTGCGTACATTGGTCATTGATGCATCCCAGAGAGCAGAATAAGATGTAGAAAATGGCAGCTGAAATATGGGAGTGTTTCTCCTGTAAGGAAAGGTTGTGTTTTGGGTTTTGTAACTTAGAAAAATAGTAATGGGTCATGAATAGTATGGAAAAATAATCATAGTGTGGATTACATGGATAGGAAGAAGGATCCCCTCTTCTTTCAGTACACTAGAGTCCAGGGTCATCTGATGAAGCTGAATGGTGGGGCATTTGGGTGGAATAACTAGAAGTGCTTATTGATATCATACAAGTGAATTTTACTAGCAAAAAAAATAGTGATAGCCACTAAGTTCATTTTTAAAAGGGTAAGGGCATGTTCGTGCTAGTAAAGACTAGTTGGTGATGTAGAGGCAGTTCCTGTGTTACAAACATCCAAGTTACAAACAACTCATAGTTACGAACGGGGATGAGACAACAAGAAGTGAGAGAAATCTACCCTTAAGAAGGGAATTTCTCTCCTGAAAGAGTTATCATGGGGAAAAGGTGTCTCAACTGAAGCCTTAACACCAATCCTTGTTTCCACAACAAGCCAAATGTCTCAAAATCCAATAACAGGGATAGAAAATGAGGGGAGTTCTGAACAGGAACACAGATAGCAAAACAAACTCCCTTCCCATGCCACCCAGAGCTTGTGTGTATGTGTGACTGGAGTTACACTTTTAAAAGTTCCTGTTCTGACTTACATACAAATTCAACTTAGTAAAAAACCTACAGAACCTATCTTGTTTGTAACTTGAGGATTCCCTGTATTTCCTTCAGCATTGTAAGACATATGCCTCTGAATATCAATTTCCTGACAATAAAAGTAAGAAGATGCTGTTGTCCTTATCTCTTGCTTATGGGCTTTCCAAAGGGTTCTGGTGGGCCACTATGGGAGCAAACTACTAACTAAGCCAAATGTCTCAAAATCCAATCGTTCTAGACGGTTTTAAACCGTGTACTTTAATATTGAGACAAATGTTTTTAATGTCTATGTATGCATATAATGAATTTTTGCCATGTATGTGCTGTGCTCTGCCCCGAGTCCCCTTCGAGGTGAGAACGGTTGAATATAAATGTTTTAAATAAATAAAATAAATAAGATAGGCCTGTGGTCTGATCCAGCCAGATTGTTAAATTTTTGGAATAAATAGATTATAAAATCACTTAGAACTACCATGAATAGTATGGAAATATTCTCACTCCCCTCTGGGTACATCTACGCTGTGAAATTAATGCACCACTTTAACTACCATGGCTCAATGTGATGGAATTGGCACTTTTTCACAACAAAAGGCTAAAGATTTTGTAAAACTACAACCCACTTGACTTACAGCATTGGACCATGGCAGTTAAAGCAGTTGCAAACAGCACTAATTCTACAGTGTGGATGCACCCTTAATTTATCTTTTGCCTTCTTCGTATGTTCTAGCTGCAAAGCAGTTTGGATAAGAAGAAAAAGAAGAAGAAAAAGGAGAAGAAAAAGAAACACAAGAAGCATCGGCACCACAGTCCTAGTAGCAGCGATGACGAGCAGAACAAAATTAGGTATATACACCTACCATGTGTGGACAGCACTACTTTTGCTTCACCCTTTTATTTTTCAAAGTATTTTACAGTTTTTGTAGTGTTGCAAAATGTCTCGTTTCTTTTTTAGAGCTGTATGAAACAGGGAATGAATTTCTTAAAGCCGCAGAGTTAATATTAAAGTTAAATTTTAAGCCAAACTCTCTCCATGAAATAATAGTGGCTCTTTGACTATTAATAGCTGCTAATGTGGGGTCTGCCTGTCTTGTTGTCTACACTGCTCACTGATTACCTTGATAAAACTGCAGTGACGTAGCTGAAAAGAACATTTGTACATCTCCATCCTATCTCTAGAGAGTTACCTGGAGCCCCTGTGGAGCCCCCGGTGGCACAGTGGGTTAAACTCCTGTGCTGGCAGGACTGAAGACCGACAGGTCGCAGGTTTGAATCCAAGGAGAGGCGGATGAGCTCCCTCTGTCAGCTCCAGCTCCCCAAGCAGGGACATGAGAGAAGCCTCCCACAAGGATGATAAAAACATCAAAAATCATCCGGGCGTCCCCTGGGCAACGTCCTTGCAGACAGCCAATTCTCTCACACCAGAAGCGACTTGTAGTTTCTCAAGTTGCTCCTGACACAACCAAAAAATAAACAAACAAAAAAAAACAGGAGTCCCAGAGAAAGGGATTTCTGAATATCTGATCAGTTTCTCCTGTTTTATTCATTTTCAGTCAGTTAGCCTGGGAGCTGGACAAGATTTGGCATTTTTAGGATCAAAGCGGTGCCCATACCTTGGGAAGTCAGACTTGGCTACGGTGGTCCACGCTCTTGTTACATCTAGGATAGACTACTGCAGCGCACTCTACGTGGGGTTGCCTTTGAAGACTGTTCGGAAGCTTCAAATAGTCCAACAAAAGGCAGCCAGGTTAATAACTGGGGCAGCATACAGGGAACATACAACTCCAATGTTACGCCAGCTGCACTGGCTGCCAGTTTGCTACCGGGCACAATTCAAAGTGTTGGCTTTGGCCTATAAAGCCCTAAACGGCCCCAGCCCCAATTACCTGTCTGAACGCATCTTCCCCTATGAACCATTGTGGAGATTAAGATCCTCCAGGGAGGCCTTGCTTTCTGTCCCACCATTGTCACAGGCACGAGTGGTGGGGACGAGAGACAGGGCCTTCTCGGTGATTGCTCCCCGGCTATGGAACTCCCTTCCTGGTGAGATCAGGTCCGCCCCCTCCCTCCTGTCCTTCAGAAGGACGGTAAAAACTTGGCTGTGGGACCAGGCCTTTGGGACAGGGCAATAAAGCAGCAATAAGAAAGATTATCAGGCCAATTAGATTTGATGCGGTCAAATCTATTTTAATATTTTGATAAATGTTTTTTAATATTTATGTATTGCATGTGAATTTGTATCCTGGCACTGAATGTTTGTCGTGTATATACTGTGCTCTGCCCTGAGTCCCCTTCGGGGTGAGAAGGGTGGAATATAAATGTTTTAAATAAACAAACAAACAAATAAATAAAGAGGGGTTAGAATTGAGGTCTCTTACAGTTATTGGATAATCCGGGTCTCTTTGACCCAGCCTGGCAAAGGAATAGCAATTTAATTTTATTGAATTGTGCTTTAGGTCACGAGAGAGAATGGACAACTCTTCAGAACCATTTCACTCCAAGATGCCAGAGTATGGCTTGCAGGTATGCATAACTGTCCTTACATTGTCTATGAGGTGTCTATTTTATTTTATTTTTTAATTATTTTTATTTTATTATTATTATTTATTTGATTTTATATTTTATTTGATTTTATATTTGATTTGATTTGATTTGAGTGTATTTGATTGTTTGCTCTGTGACCACAGGAGTTTTGCCGTGCTCTAGCATTTACAACAGTAGCATTTCTCCCATTCTAGATTCGAGGTAACGGTCATGACAAGGTGCTTTCGCATAAGCTGAAAGAGAGGTCTATGTCTAAGAGCCAATGCCTATCACCAGAGAGGCACTCTAGCAAGAAAGATCCATATGAGGTGGAGCAGAGCAGTCGCAGGAGGTCAAGATCACCTAGAGACAATAAACAGTAAGCAAGAATGGGGCATCTACTGTGTTTTTCTGTCATTGAGTATCTTTTTTGTGCTGTGGAGTCCAAGCTGTGTATGCATAACTTAGCTTAGGTGCCTGGCAATGCCTGAGTTAGGTTTTTGTCGTGATATTTATTCAAAATATTGTGTTGCCGAAGGCTTTTATGGGTTGCTGAGTTTTTTGAGCTGTATGGCCATGTTCTAGTAGCATTATCTCCTGAGAAAATGCTGCTGAAACATGGCCATACAGCCTGAAAAAATCACAGCAACCAAGACATGGTCATTGTTTAGCTTTGGGTTTTAGAAAAAGCATAAGAATGTGGGTTAACTACAACTCCCATCATACTTTGTCAGTTCCCCTCAAAGCCTGGAAGTATTTTAAGACAGGCTTTAGACAGCTGGTTAACCACCGACTGAAGTAAATCTTGCCAACAGAAAGGTTGACAGTTCAAAGCCCAGGTCAGGGTGAGCTCCTGGTCTTTAGCCCAGCTTCTGCCTACCTAGCAGTTTTAAAAAAACAGCAATGTGAGTAGATAGGTACCGCTTAAGCAGGGAGGTATTTGAGGCACCCAAAAGGAAATGCTAGAAAAATGCCGGTGATTTGATCAAGGTGGAAGTTTACGAACAAAGTTCTTTGGCAAGGAAAGTGGAGCAACAGCACCCCCTGTGGCTGGAATCGAGCACAGCCTCCAAGTTGCCGAAGATGGAAAACCTATATATACCTCTATCTATGTACAGCTGTCTCTCTTGTCAATGTATAACATCATTGAATGTTTGCCGTATATGTGTTCTGTGATCCACTCTGAGTCCAAAATAAATAAGTTGGTCATGATACTTATGTGGGCCAAGTTTAGTCCAGATCCATTTCCAGGGAAATGGACATGGTTCTTTGTCTGTGGGCAAACTACAACTCCCATCATCCTGGGTCAATCTCCCCCAAACCCACCAGTATTTAAAGTTGGGTATGCCTGCCATGTCTGGTCCAGATCCATCATCAGTGGGGGTTCACAGTGCTCTCTGGATGGGGGAGCAGTCCTGGAAAATACATAGGTACATGTTTTGGCTCTTACTATATGCATAGATTTGAAGTCAGTTACATATAGTGGGAAATCATCAAAAAGCAGGGTATGAATTATTATGCCTTCCAACACAAAATTAAGTTATAATACAGCATAGAGAGAAGGCAGGAAAGTGGAGTGGACCCAATAGCTCCTTTTGTGGTTGAAATAAAATTCTTCTTGAATTGCAGGCACAACAGCAGGGACCAGAAGACAAAAGCAGCGGGGAGGAGTATTTCTCCTAAAAGAGAAAGCCACAGAAGACAACAGACCTCAAGGTACGCTGAGAGATTACAGTAACGTTATAATTCTAAAAATTATAATATGTAATATAAATATTGTGTCATATGTAATATGTATGTAATCACTATTGATCTTGTGTATATTGTAAGCCTGAGGGCAAATTAGCATTGTGTAAGCTGTTCTGAGTGCCTTTGTGGCTGTGGAGTGGGATAAAACATCTCTAAAATTAAAAAAAATGACAGTAATAATGAATATTCGTTTCACAACCAGGGATATTGTTTCATAGGAGAATAGCTTTATAGAGATATACATCCTTGTGCAAGAAGCATGAAACTGAATGGTAAAACAAATCAAAGACATTGAGTGCTAGATATGATTCATACTTTTTAAAGCCACCTTCCCAAATGTTAGGACTAGAAATGTGCTATTTTTTGGAATCAGCAGCATATAATGGGAGTGAAGAACCCCACCATGTAGGGATTACCACACGGAGGCCTCAAAGCAGCGTTATTCTGCCATGCGGACCACTCCAAAAGTGAATGCCCAGTGTTCAGAGGAAAGGCCCAATGTTACCTGATTACCTGATTTATCTCTCTTAAATGGTTTAAGTGGAAACCAAAATCACTAAACATATCAGTAATTCAACGTCTTCTTCTTGCAGTGTTTTCTGTTGTGTATGTACATGTTTTCAAGTCGCCTGTCAACTTGTGGTGACTCCTAGGATTTCATAGTGTTTTCTTAGGCAAGAGATATTCAGAGATGGTTTTGCCAGTTCCTTCCTCCAAAATATAGCTTTTCAGCACTTTTTAGGCTGATAAAGCCCCCTTGGCTTATACTCAAATCAAGGTTTTTATTATTTTACTCTGTTATAGTAATAATTATTTTACTGCATTTATTATTTTACTCTATTATTATTACATTTATTTATTTACTATACTTGTATACCACCTTTCTCAGCCTATTGGTGACTCAAGGCGGTTTACAACAAGTCAGTACACATAATATCAAAATACAAATCAAACATTAAAAACAATATAAAAAACACAACAGAAACAATAAAACCAACATCATTAGCGTCTCCTAGTTAAAAACATTGTCCAATTCCATCGTCAAATGATTCCAATTCCTGTGTCAGTTTCTCTGCATTTGTAAATGCTTGCTCAAACAACCATGTCTTAACTTTTCTTCGAAATGTTAAGAGTGAGGAAATCGATCTAATCTCCTCAGGGAGGGTGATCCATAGCCGAGGGGCCACCACTGAGAAGGCCCTCTCTCTTGTCCCCACCAGCCGTACTTGTGGTGAAGGCGGGATTGAGAGCAGGGCCTCCCCGGACGATCTTGAAGTTCTAGATGGTTCATAAGGGGAACCATCTAGGTTCACTATTTACATTATTTTACTCTATTATTATTTTTATTGCATTTATTATTTTGCTCTCTTTATTATTATATTTATTATTTTACTCTTATTATTACTACATTTGTTATTTTTCTCTATTATTATTACATTTATTATTTTACTCTAGTAGTGTTATTATTACATTTCCATTATTTTACTCTATTTTTATTATTTTTATTACATTTATTATTATTGGAAGGATACGTAAGCACATTTACATTGAAGAAGGTTAGAATAATGGTTTAATTGGAATTGGACAGTCTTATCTTACATTACAGTTTTATGTAACTGTTCAAAAACATTTAACCTACTGATGCCTCAATTAATGTAATTTTGGTATCTATTTTTTATTTTGAAATTTACCAGTAGCATTTCCCACCTTTGGCTTATACTTGAGTCAATATGTTTTCCCTGTATTTTTGTGGTAAAATTAGGTGCCTCGGCTTATATTCTGGTCGGCTTATACTTGAGCATAAATGCTAATCTTTAATTCCCTGCTCATTATAACACAGTGGTAATGGTGGTCCCTGTCACCATTTACAATAGCTGGGAGCTTGGCTTATGGCTGAAAGGGGATGCTATGTGAACCTCAACACAATAGTCTATTGTGCTTCCAGCTTTGATCTGAAATCTTGGGTGGCTAAACTTATGCTTGCTTGCTTTAAGCAGAAAACTCTCAGCAGAAGAACTGGAGAAGAAGCGGCAAGAAATGATAGAGAATGCCAAGTGGCGAGAAGAGGAAAGGGCGAACAATGTGAACAGACATAGAAAAGAAGAGGAACGAGAGCGAGCCCTGGAGAAACTTGGCCGTAGTGATGGGAAGTTCATACAGTAAGTGTCTTGCTTCTTCCAAGAGTGAACTCCAAAGGCAGTCACCCCCAAACCCCACCTGTATGCACAGTTGGCCATCTTGGTTCTGTGTGCCAAGTTTGGTCCAGATCTGTTGTCGGTTGGGTTCAGTGCTCTCTAGATAAGGGAGAACTACAATTTCCCAAATCAAGGTCAGTTCCCCCCTGCAGTATGTTCAGTTGGTCACAGGGATTCTCTGCCAGGTTTGGTCCCAATCCATCATCGGTGGGGTTAGGAGTGGTCTTTGATTGCAGCTGAACTATAAATCCCATTGCTTACAACAAACAAATGTCAAGACCAATTCCACCCCAGATCCACTAGTATTAAAATTTGGGCATATTGGGTATACGTGCCAAATTTGGCCCAGATCCATTGTTTGTGTTTACAGTGCTTTCTGGATGTAGGAGAACTATAGTTCCTATAAATCAAGGTGAGCTTTCCCCAAAGTCATCCTGCATTTTTTGTTGGTCATGGGGGTTCTGTGTGCTAAGTGAGGTCCAGAGTGCTCTTTGATTGCAGGTGAACAATACATTCCAGTACCTACGACTCCAAAATGTCCAGGCCAATTCGGCCCGCAAACTCACCAGTATTTAAATGTGGGCATATCAGGTATGCATGTCAACTTTGGTCTAGATCCATCATTGTTTGGGTTCATAGTGCACTCTGGATGCAGGTGAATTACAACTCGTATAAATCTCTCCAAAGACCTCTAGTTCTTTCTTTGTCATGGGGGTTCTGTGTGCCAAGTTAGTTCCAGTCCATCGTTGGTGGGGTCAAGAGTGCTCTTTGATTGCAGGTGAACTATAAATCCCAGTACCTATAACAGCTATAAATCAAGGTGAATTCCCCCCCAAATCCCTCCAGTATGTTTTGTTGGTAATGGGGGTTCTGTGTGCAAAGTATATCTATAGATATATAAATGCTCTGTGCATAATGAGTACCTTAAAAACAAAAGAACCAATGAGCGAAATCACACGAAATTTGGCAACAAAATGTCTCACTACACAAGGAGTGACCGTCAATCAAAAAATTATGATTTTGTCATTTGGGAGTTGTAGTTGCTGGGATTTATAGCTCACCTACAATCAAAGAGCATTCTGAACTCCACCAACGATGGAATTGAACCAAACTTGGCACACAGAACTCCCATGACCAACAGAAAATACTGGAAAGGTTTGGAGGGCATTGACCTTGAGTTTGGGAGTTGAGAGCACCGTGGAACCAAACAATGATAGATCTGGACCAAATTTGGCATGAATATTCAATATGCCCAAATATAAACACAGATGGAGTTTGGGGGGAATAGACCTTGACAACCCCCATGACCAACAGGAAATACTGTGTTTCCTGGTGGTCTTTGGTGACCCTTCTGACACCCCCCTGGTGACCCCCCCCCCTTGGTGTATTGACTTCCCAGGTTGAGAAATGCTGCCTTAAGGCCATCCAGTCCAGCTCCCTTCACCAGGGCAACAAAACAAAGCCCTCCTGACAAAGGGCCATCCAGCCATTCACACACACACACACATGTATATGACAGATGCAGTATCAAAGATTTCAAAGGGACCCCTAAAGAAGGACAATGATATGTTACATGTTCCAGAGTAGGCAAACCAGACAATCTCCACATCAACACTGACAAAGAAACAACAAGAAATACTGTTTACCCTCAAGCATAAAGACATTACATATATTAGAAACCAACACATTCTCATTACTTCATTTCCAGATCACCAGACTGGGCCACACCAACGCGTGGCAGGGGACAGCTAGTTTGTTATATACAAAGTACATTTTTTCTTATTTATTTATTTTATTTCGTATCAAAAGAATTTCATAAATTAGTATAAAACTGATAAAAATAGAAGGAGCGCAGTCAGCTAAGTATCTTTTTGACCAAAAACGGGCAACAGCAACAGCATTGCCTGTAGCCTCCAACAATTCTTCCTCTGTACATGAGGCAGGGCATAGTGGGCAAGCATACAGATGCGGAGTTGTCTGTTCTGCTCCACAGTCACACAAGGTGTGGGATTCTTTTAGGTAGTGCCATTTTGTCAGGTTGTCTTTTGATCTGCTCACTCCGCTTCTGAGTCTGTTCAGGGACTTCCAAGTTGCCCATTCTTGGTTTGCCCCTGGAGCAGGACCCTCATGGGGGGCCATCCAGTTGGGATTTCGTAGTTTAGCTGCCCAGAAGGATACCCTTGCTGTTGCTGGGGGGATGCCAAGAGGAGTGGTAGTTCTCATAACGCTTTTCCTTGATTTGAGTCTACTGGGAGGAGGCTGGTAGCCATGTGGTGGGTGGCTTTCACAATGTTCAACCTTACTTCTCTCACATTTAGCAGCTACTTCCTGTCGCACGTCAGGGGTGGCAAAGCCAGCTAGCTTGAAGAGTTTATCAACAGGTGTAGGTTTAAGACATCCTGTGATTATTCTGCATGTTTCATTCTACACTTATGCCAAAAGAGGAGGCATACTCTTACTTAAAAACACGTAACAAAAAGGTGTGGTTTTTTGAGGGTCTGAAATGGATTACTAGCCTTTCAGTGGGGAAATTTGATTTGACATAAGCATGGTTAAAGAACAAATTAAACTCGTAAGTCAAGGTATCACTGTACTTTTAATGTCAAACATGTGACTTTGTTAGTCTTAACCCCATTTTCTCCTCTCTTCTCCTCCTGTAGCCATATGAAGCTGGAGAGTGCATCTACTTCCTCTCTTGAAGATCGAGTCAAAAGGAACATTCACTCAATTCAAAGGACTGCAGCTGCCCTGGAAAAGAACTTCATGCAGAGATGAGAATCTCTTTTTTCTTCACGACACCTTTGAGAATTTGTATTTGAGGCGTGCTTTTTTAATCCCAAAGGGATGAGGGAAACAGAAAAACTGACCACCAGACTTTCACAGCCTTTGATCAGCTTTTTTTTTTCTGTGTGAGAGATGTGAGAGCAATGAGCGACAGTTCACTGTGATGCATTGCTACAAAGACAGTTCTAAAATACACCAACTTAGTGTTTTGAAATTCTCTAGATTCAGCTTTTTTTTGTTTAACTTGGTGTGCTCTTCATAAGCTATTTTAGCAAGAGTCTGCGACTTAATTTGAAGCACCATAATTTCCCCATAGTGTAGAAGGGCTTTAAGATTTAGATACTTACTTAGGCGATCCCTCGTAGTCCGAGGATGATGGTCCTCCAAGTATAGTGTCCTGGCAGTGGGTCCGTAGGTGACTGTGGAGCCCTATTCTCAATCTGCATCTCCTCCCACAGTGAGGGCATTGGTTTCCAGGTGGAAGGCGGTCCCGGTCGGGTTGGCTTGATGCGCCTTCCTCTTGGCATGTTTCTCTCTTTCGCCCTCCATTCATGCCTCTTAAAATTCTACAGCATTTTAAAATACTACAGCAAATTCTCAAGGGCCAGGGCTTCCCAGTTCTCAGTGTCTATACCACAGTTTTTAAGGTTGGCTTTGAGCCCATCTTTAAATCTCTTTTCCTGCCCAACAACATTCCATTTTCCGTTCTTGAGTTTGGAATAGAGAAACTGCTTTGGGAGATGGTGGTCGGGCATCTGGACAACATGGCCAGTCCAGCGGAGTTGATGGTGGAGGACCATCGCTTCAGTGCTGGTGGTCTTTGCTTCTTCCAGCATGCTGACATTTGTCCGCTTGTCTTCCCAAGATATTTGCAGGATTTTTCGGAGGCAGCGCTGATGGAATCATACCAGGAGTTGCATGTATTTATTTGTTTGTCATGTCAGGGCAACCAGTCATTTATATTACATTTCTAACAGAAGAAAGCAAACAAACAGACATAATACAAAATTTGTGAGTTTGGTAGTTGATTAAATGTCTTTTGACCAGTAGCTGACCACTTGGAGTGCTTCTGGTGTTGCTGCAAGGAGGTCCTCCATTGTGCATGTGGCAGGGCTCAGGTTGCATTGCAGTAGGTGGTCAGTGGTTTGCTCCTCTCCACATTCGCATGTCGTGGATTCCACTTTGTAGCCCCATTTCTTGAGGTTGGCTCTGCATCTTGTGGTGCCAGAGCGCAGTCTGTTCAGTGCCTTCCAAGTTGCCCAGTTTTCTGTGTGCCCAGGGGGGAGTCTCTCATTTGGTATCAGCCATTGGTTGAGGTTCTGGGTTTGGGCCTGCCACTTTTGGACTCTTGCTTGCTGAGGTGTTCCAGTGAGTGTCTCTGTAGATCTTAGAAAACTATTTCTAGATTTAAGTCATTGAGGAGTTGCATGTGATGTCTGTAGACTGTCCACGTCTCGCAGGCATATATCAGGGTTAGGAGGACAATAGCTTTATAAACAAGCACCATGGTATCCCTACAGATGTCCCAGTCCTCAAACACTCTCTGCTTCATTCCGAAAAATCTGCACTCGCAGAGCTCAGGCGGTGTTGTATTTCAGTGTCAATGTTGACTTTTGTGGAGAGGTGGCTGCCGAGGTAGCAGAAATGGTCAACATTTTCTAATGTTACACCATTAAGTTGTATTTCTGGCATTGGAGAGGGATTGGCTGGTGACTGCTGGAAGAGCACTTTGGTTTTCTTGATGTTTAATGACAGGCCGAGCTTCTCGTAAGCTTCTGTGAAAGTGTTTAGAGTGGGCTTGTAGGTGTTCTTCTGAATGTGCACAGACGACGTTGTCATTTAAGATTTAGATATGGGGGTATGAAATAACTCAGGTTGCTACCTTGTATGTGCACATCAACAATGGGCATCAGTAGTAAGAAAGAGGGCAAGAAAAGGAGAAAAAATCCACCCCACCCCCTCAAAAAAACCTGACATTTGATTATTTGATATAACTGCCCATTTTGGAAGGGCTTAGCGCAGCTGGTGTTTAGACAGATCCAGACTTACAGTGAGATCCACTAGAGAATGCAAAAGCTCATTTTTTTGTCTTGTTGGCTTGTTTTTCTCTGCTCTTCAAGAACAGTGTTTCCTTCAACCCAATCCCTACTTGCGACCTTAAACAAGAGTTTTTGCCACATATCTAATGCTACAGAACCAGCAGCTCATTTTTTAAAGAAAAATTGGAAATGTATTTGTGTTTTAATGAAGACTTTTGTGTCTAGTAGGCACAAAACAGATTTTTGAAATAGACACGCATACTTTAGGGAGAAAAAGCAAAATGTAACTTTGGGTCCAATAGAACTTCAATACAGCATTCTTCTGTATATATTTTCTTTATTAATGTTGTAAATATTGAACTTTGTCTATCTGTCTGGCATTTAATATAATGCATTTTAAGCAGACAATGTGTTGGTATCATTAACAAGAGATTTATGTTATAGGCCAGAGCTTTTGAAACTATGTCACTGTGTTGGCTGCAGTGTGTAGGTGTGTCATGCAAAGTGACGAAAAAGAAGAAAAAATCTTGGAAATCCATATTATCTTCCAAATCATATATTTTTTAAAACATAAAATGAAAGGTGTTTACAAGATATGTTGTGTCTCCATATGTTTTGTCATTTTTTAAAATTATTACTAGCTCTCCCCTGCCACGCGTTGCTGTGGCCCAGTCAGGTGATCTGGGAACTATAAATATAAGTAACCACAACTCCCAAATGTCAAGGTCTATTTCCCCCAAACTCCATCTGTGTTCATATTTGGGCATTTTGAGTATCAGTGCCAAGTTTGGTCCAGATCCATCATTGTTTGAGTCCACAGTGCTCTCTGGATGTAGGTGAACTACAACTGCCAAACTCAAGATCAATGCCCACCAATCCCTTCTAGTATTTTCTGTTGCTCATGGGAGTTCTGTGTGCCATATTTGGTTCAGTTCCATCATTGGTGGAGTTCAGAAAGCTTTTTGATTGTAAGTAAACTATAAATCCCAGCAACTACAACTCCCAAATGCCAAAATCATTTTTTTTTTGTGATGGTCACTCCTTGGGTGAGTAGGTGTCTTGTGGCCAAATTTGGTGGCAATTCGTCCAGTGTTTTTTTGCGTTATGTTAATCCCACAAATGAACATTACATTTTTATTTATATAGATTATTTTGTCATGTCAGGAGCGACTTGAGAAACTGCAAGTCGCTTCTGGTGTGAGAAAATTGGATAGCTGCAAGGATGTTGCCCAGGGAACGCCCGGATGTTTGATGTCTTACCATCCTTGTGGGAGTCTTCTCTCATGTCTCTGAATGAGGAGCTGGAGCTGACAGAGGGAGCTCATGCGTGCTCTCCCCAGATTTGAACCTGCAATCTGTCGGTCTTCAGTCCTGCCAGCACAGGAGTTTAACCCACTGCGCCACCAGGGGCTTCTGTTATTACAATTACTATTATTACAATTGTTATTACAATTGATATATTTGTATATATCTTCTGAGGGGTTGGTTTTTACCTCTAGTTTGTTGGTAAAGTGGAATGACTGTGTTGCCAAATGACACATGTTTAAAGAGTGTGTCATCAAGATGAAATCTTTGGAAAGCTCTGTTATAGGCTATTGAAAATATTGTAGGTTTCCTTTGGTAGGAATGCACAGCAGTTACCAAACCAAAAAAAATCATTATTTTCCAGCCAATAGCAATTAGCTTTGAAGGAAGGCCTTTCAAGAATATAGGCTTTCTCTGGAACACCTCTGGGCTGCATACTGAGATCGCCAAATAAAAGGGGATTATATAGAGCTCAGTCTCTGATCAAACCAAAGGCTTAAATAATCTGGTATTTTGTGTATATAGTGAAGCACATAGCCTTGGAGGCATGAGTGGAATAGCTATCTCTTGTATTCTTTTATAACCGCCAACAGGCAGCGAAAGATTTCTTTCATTCATATATTTCTCCCAGAACTGTGATTAAAATATTTATATTTGAAATGTGTACAACCCGCATAGGTCCAGATGTTTTCTAATGTTTGTACATCAGTAAGTAATATTTAAGAGTCCTGATAAAATTATAGTCTTCCTGTGTTAATGTGGTAGCAGAGTAATACCTTCAAAATACCTTAAAATGAAATAATACTATGTACCATTATTTTTCTTCCTGGGTCCTAAATGTCATCTCCTAATTGGTTCAATCATAAAAACGTGGAAAATGTTTATTAAACTGCAAAAACTTTGTTTTTACAGGACATCCTGCAGCACATTTTGGTATAGTTTTTCAATATCTCCTCGAATTTCAACCAATTCAACATAGTTTGTGGCAGCCACAAAAACGATGTTCCTGGAGTATAACAACTAAATACCGCATAATTAAACAGGAAACAACACTTTCAAACAGATTTTTTCCCTAAATTTTGTTACATAATGCAATTAATATATAATATAAAAATACACAATATAATTGTATTGTTGAAGGCTTTCATGGCCGGAATCACTGGGTTGTTGTAGGTTTTTTCGGGCTATATGGCCATGGTCTAGAGGCATTCTCTCCTGATGTTTCGCCTGCATCTATGGCAAGCATCCTCAGAGGTAGTGAGGTCTGTTGGAACTAGGAAAAAGGGTTTATATATCTGTGGAATGACCAGGGTGGGACAAAGGACTCTTGTCTGCTGGAGCTAGGTGTGAATGTTTCAACTGACCACCTTGATTAGCATATAATGGCCTGACAGTTCCTGGAGCAAACTTTTGTTGAGAGGTGATTAGATGTCCCTGTTTGTTTACCCTCTGTTGTTTTGCTGTTGCAATTTTAGAGTTTTTTAAATACTGGTAGCCAGACTTAGTTCATTTTCATGGTTTCCTCCTTTCTGTTGAAATTGTCCACATGCTTGTGTATTTCAATGGCTTCTCTGTGTAGTCTGACATGGTGGTTGTGAGAGTGGTCCAACATTTCTGTGTTCTCAGATAATAGGCTGTGTCCAGGCTGGTTCATCAGGTGCTCTGCTATGTCTGATTTCTCTGGTTGAAGTAGTCTGCAGTGCCTTTCATGTTCCTTGATTCGTGTTCGGGCAATGCTGCGTTTGGTGGTCCCTATGTAGACTTGTCCACAGCTACATGGTACACGGTAGACTCCTGCAAAAGTGAGAGGATCCCTCTTGTCCTTTGCTGAACGAAGCATTTGTTCGATTTTCTTGATGGGTCTGTAGATAGTTTGTATGTTGTGTTTCCTCATCAGCTTTCCTATGCGGTCAGTGGTTCCCTTGATGTATGGCAAGAACCATTATATGCTAATCAAGGTGGTCAGTTGAAACATTCACACCTAGCTCCAACAGTCAAGAGTCCTTTGTCCCCCTCTGGTCATTCTACAGATATATAAACCCATTTTCCTAGTTCCAACAGACCTCTGAGGATGCTTGCCATAGATGCAGGCGAAATGTCAGGAGAGAATGCCTCTAAACCATGGCCATACAACCCATAATATAATTTCTTGAGCAATACATATATAAAAATAGATATATTTAATATAGAATATAACACTACATAATATAATGTAGGTGACTACGAGGAATACCATGGCTTTGACTGTGTGGATCTTTGTTGCCAGTCTGATGTCTCTACTCTTTACTATTTTATCGAGATTGGACATTGCTCTCCTCCCAAGAAGTAAGCGTCTTCTGATTTCCTGCCTGCAGTCTGCATCTGCCGTAATCTTTGCACCTAGAAATACAAAGTCTGTCATTGCCTCCACATTTTCTCCCTCTATTTCCCAGTTGTCAATCATTCTTGTTGCCATAATCTTGGTTTTTTTGACGTTTAGCTGCAACCCGGCTTTTGCGCTTTCTTCTTTCACCTTGATTAGAAGGCTCCTCAGCTCCTCCTTGCTTTCGGCCATCAAAGTGGTGTCATCTGCATATCTAAGTTTGTTAATGTTTCTTCCAGCAATTTTCACCCCAGCCTTGCATTCATCAAGCCCCGCTCATCGCATGATGTGTTCTGCATACAAGTTGAATGGGTTGGGTGAGAGGATACAACCCTGCCGTACGCCTTCCCAATCTTAAACCAGTCTGTTGTTCCATGGTCAGTTCTTATATAAGATTAGCGTAGCACAATATTAGTAACATTCATTCCCATATTGCACTACCCCAGTATACTGTAATATTTTTAGTAATATTACATGTAATATGAAATATATAATTATATTGAATTATTATTAGTATTATATTGTATTACATTATAATATCAATATTATTTGCGTATGCAATATATTATATTATTACAACAGCACAATGTTAGTGTTATGTATTGCTATATTGTACTATACCATTTATACAATATATGTGTATACAATATATTATATTATTACCCCAGCACATCAGTAATATATTACCAACTTCGACTGGCAAATAATATGTGTTATTTATTTGTTGTATCAGGGCAACCAGTCAATTATATTACATTTCTAACAGAACAAAGCAAACAAACAAACAAACAGACAAAATACAAATTTTGTGATTAAATGTCCTTTGACCAGTATCTGGTCACTTGGAGTGCCTCTGGTGTTGCTGCAAGAAGGTCCTCCATTGTGCATGTGGCAGGGCTCAGGGTGCATTGCAGCAGATGGTCAGTGGTTTGCTCTTCTCCACACTCGCATGTCGAGGATTCCACTTTGTAGCCCCATTTCTGAAGGTTGGCTCTGCATCTCCTGGTGCCAGAGCGCAGTCTGTTCAGCGCCTTCCAAGTCGCCCAGTTTTCTGTGTGCCCAGGGGGGAGTCTCTCATTTGGTATCAGCCATTGATTGAGGTTCTGGGTTTGAGCCTGCCACTTTTGGACTCTCGCTTGCTGAGGTGTTCCAGCGAGTGTCTCTGTAGATCTTAGAAAACTATGTTTAGGTTTAAGTCGTTGGCGTGCTGGCTGATACCCAAATGGGGTGAGCTGGAGATGTCACTGCATTGGTATTTCGCTATTGGCTGCTACTTCCCGGCAGATATCAGGTGGTGCAATACCAGCTAAGCAGTGTAATTTCTCCAGTGGTGTAGGGCACAGACACCCCGTGATAATGCGGCATGTCTCATTAAGAGCCACATCCACTGTTTTAGCGTGGTGAGATGTGTTCCACACTGGGCATGCGTACTCAGCAGCAGAGTAGCACAGCGCAAGGGAGGATGTCTTCACTGTGTCTGGTTGTGATCCCCAGGTTGGGCCAGTCAGCTTTTGTATGATATTGTTTCTAGCACCCACTTTTTGCTTGATGTTCAGGCAGTGCTTCTTGTAGGTCAGAGCACAGTCCAGAGTGACTCCCAGGTATTTGGGTGCGCTGCAATGCTCCAGTGGGATTCCTTCCCAGAATAATCCTCAGAGCTCGGGATGCTTGTCTGTTCTTAAGGTGAAAGGCACATATATGTGTTTTAGATGGGTTAGGGATCAGCTGGCTTTCCCTGTAATAGGCAGTAAGAGCACCTAGAGCTTCGGAGAGCTTCTGTTCAACCATCTCAAAGCTCCCTGCTTGAGCGGTGATGGCATGATCATCAGCATAGATGAAACTCTCTGTCCCTTCTGGCAGTGGCTGGTCATTTGTGTAAATGTTGAACATGGATGGAGCAAGCACACTCCCCTGAGGCAGTTAAATATACGTTGAATATACGTAATTGCCCAAAGTGAGAGCTGCTTTGCTTCCCATCTCCTGGTGTTGAGAAGAGGTGCCGCTGTCCGTCCAATGAGACGCCCCGGGACGTTCTGTGATAATCCTCCATTCATAATTCCAGGGGCCTCGGCGCTGATTGGTTGCCGAGCCCATAAAACGGAGAGGGGCGGTCCTAACTCTTACTACGTCACGGCCTCTATCCGAACGTACCATTATTACAAGAAGGGGGAGTGAGCGGAATTGTTGCTGATTCCTCAGCCTGCCTCTCCTTTTGCAGTCTCAATCGACCATTTTGTTGACCAGGGAAATATCACCGTGTCTCGCTTAATCATTGTTTTCTTTTTTTAAATATATGTATTCTGCGCCACCCCTCCAGCGGCAATGGTACATCCTTCTCCGCCCCCTCCCTCCGCCCGCCGCCATCTTGGCGCCTCCTTTGCGCAGGAGCCGAGCTGGGAGCTCGTTCCGCGGTGGAGCAAACCACCGAGTCCGACGCGCGGGGGTAGGCGGGGCGAAGCCACATCCTGACAGAGGGGGAAACTATCCGACGTCTGCTGTGAGAACGAGGCGAGCTTAGATCCAGTTTGGAAGGCTCAGGGAGGGGGCGACCATTTGGCAGCTGACAGGGGGGTGGGGCCGGGACCCAACCATTTGCGAAAGAGGGGAGATCTTGGTTTTTTTTTAATCCGGGCTGAACCATTTTGCCTAGGCTTGGGAGGGGTGTCTACCTTTGGTTGTTACTGTTACAAATGATTCATATGCATGTCTATGAATGTCCTGAGTGGGTGGTACCACTGCAACTGCTTTCGACGAGGTGTCCCACTGTCTATTCTTTTCTCAGCGTGGAAAAGAGGGAGGGGCTGGACTGTACCATTTGGAGAAGTCAAGGAATAGCACAGATTTGATGGGGGCGTCCGTTGTGAATAGTGAGGGAGGCTCAATTGGGAGGCTATACTACGGGTGACACCATTGGAGGCAGAGAGGGGAGGGCAGGAGGGACCACTTTGGATTTGGAGGGGTGTGGTAAGCCCCAAGTGACACCCTAAAGTGAAAGAGGTGCCAGGGAAAAGAGTGTCATTTTGAGCCATAGCATTAATAAGTGGACCAACTTGTGGGTGTTAGAAGTAGAGAGGACAGGCCTCTTTTCTCCCTCCCCATTGGACCTATGGATATGAGTACTTGGGAGTGAGAGTCTCCCACTTCAGATGGGCCCAAGCCCTGCCATGCCAAGGCCGTCCTCTTCTTAGAAGGCAGGGTTTCTCCAAGCAGTCCGTTGGAGGTTCCTCTCGCTGCCATGGCTTCGAATTGCACTGGAAACACGGCGGCCGCCAGCGTGGCTGCCTCTCTGGGCAGCGCCCTCAGTGCTTCCAAAACCAAGACCAAGAAGAAGCACTTCGTCTGCCAGAAAGTGAAGCTCTTCCGCGCCTCTGAGCCCCTCCTGAGTGTCCTGATGTGGGGAGTCAACCACACGGTGAGTGGGAGCTTACGCACCTTTTTACTTCCACAGCACATTCTTAAGAAAGCAGTGCCCATCCCAGTGCATGTGGAGATGGGCACCGTGCCACCAAATAGATCAGTGTCATCTTTATGCGGACAGCATCCAATGTCACATTGCCGGGGCTCTGCCTTATTTAGGTAGAGATGAATCAAACTCCCAGTTTTCTCAAACAGTTTAATTAAGATTTATTGGAAGTTCCCAGTTTTAAGACCTTGCGTCTAATAGCAACTAGATGCAGAGCCTTCACAGCAGTGGCACCATCGCTTTCCACAGGGCTTGTAAAACATACCTGTTTCGACAGGCTTTTGATCTTTTTACTTCCACACCACATTCTTAAGAAAGCGGTACCCATCCCAGTGCATGTGGAGATGGGCACCCTGCCACCGAATGTTTCTGTTCTTCAAGACATCCTCTTGGAGATCAGTGTCATCTTTATGCAGACAGCATCCAATGTCACGTTGCCAGGGCTCTGCCTTATTTAGGTAGAGATGAATCGAACTCCCAGTTTTCTCAAACAGTTTAATTAAGATTTATTGGAAGTTCCCAGTTTTAAGACCTTGCGTCTAATAGCAACTCGACACAGAGCCTTCACAGCAGTGGCACCATCGCTCTGGAATACTCTGCCACCAGAAGTCATAGAATCATAGAATCAAAGAGTTGGAATAGACCTCATGGGCCATCCAGTCCAACCCCCTGCCAAGAAGCAGGAATATTGCATTCAAATCACCCCTGACAGATGGCCATCCAGCCTCTGTTTAAAAGCTTCCAAAGAAGGAGCCTCCACCACACTCTGAGGCAGAGAGTTCCACTGCTGAACGGCTCTCACAGTCAGGAAGTTCTTCCTCATGTTCAGATGGAATCTCCTCTCTTGTAGTTTGAAGCCATTGTTCCGCGCCCTAGTCTCCCGTGCCTTGCGGGACTTATCAGCTTTGGCCAGGGTGGTCCATGCCTTGGTCACCTCTAGATTGGATTAATGTAATGCACTCTACGTGGGGCTGCCCTTGAAAATGGCTCGGAAATTCCAACTGGTCCAATGGGCGGCAGCCAGGATGTTAACTGGCGCTCCTTACAGAGAGAGGTCAACCCTCCTATTTAAGGAGCTCCATTGGCTGCCGTTTACCTACCGAGCCCAATTCAAGGTGCAGGTGCTTACCTACAAAGCCCTAAACGGTTTGGGACCTGCCTGCCTACCTGTGTGACCGCATCTCTGTTTATGAACCCACACGCTCCCTTCGTTCATCCGGAGAGGCCCTGCTCGCGATCCCACCTGCGTCGCAGGCGCGTTTGGTGGGGACGAGGGACAGGGCCTTCTCTGTGGTTTCCCCCCGACTCTGGAACACCCTCCCCAAAGACATCAGACTAGCCCCCACGTTGGCTGTCTTTAGGAAGAACTTGAAAACCTGGCTATTCCGATGTGCCTTTCCGGAATAGGATAACCCAGGACTATGTCCCAGAAGCACTTTATTAGAGTTAAGATTCTCTGCACATTGCATTTGCCCAGAATCCCAACATATCACCTCTCACACCCAGCACTTTTTAAACCTGTACCCATCATTGGCCCGGCCCTGGTTTTATTGCGTAATAGTGTAATGTTTTGTTTTGTTATTGCTTATGTTTTTAATTTGCTTTGCATCGTATTGTTATTGTCTGCTGTTGTTGTATTGAGGCCTTGGCCTTTGTAAGCCGCATCGAGTCCTTCGGGAGATGCTAGCGGGGTACAAATAAAGTTTAATAATAATAATAATAATAATCAGCTTTCCACAGGGCTTGTAAAACATACCTGTTTCGACAGGCTTTTGATCTTTGATATATTGTTTCAAATTGTGTTAGATTCTAATTTGTTCTTGTAAGCCGCTCTGAGCCCTAGGGGAATAGCGGCATATAAGTTTGAATTTATTTATTTATTTACAGTATTTCTATACCACTTTTCTCACCCCTGGGGGACTCAAAGCGGTTTACACATAACTGACAAAACTTCAGTGCCATACATTGGACACTGACGCAATGCCAAACCATAACAACCACAATAATAAAACCACAATTGAACATAAATCATAATTAGACAGTACATAAGCAATCATTAAAACAATAAATAAGAAAACAGTCTCGCCAGTCGTATTATCATTCTAGTCCACGTCCTTTAAACTCTACAAACATCTACTGTCCGAAGGCCTGATCCCACAGCCATGATTTTAATTTCTTTCTAAAAACCAGGAGGGAGGGAGCAGATCTTACCTCATTTGGGAGTGCGTTCCATAGGCGAGGGGCCACAGCTGAGAAGGCCCTGTCTCTCGTCCCCGCCAGACGCATTTGCGCAATTGACGGGAGTGAGAGCAGGGCCTCCCCGGATGATCTTAGATTACGAGATGGGACGTAGGGGTGGATGCGTTCGGACAAGTAAGTTGGGTCAGAACCGTATAGAGCTTTATAGGTCAAAATCAGCACTTTGAATTATTTATAATAAATAAATAAATAAATAAATAAAACAGCACTTACTTGCTGGCTGTTTTAATAGACCAAAATATAAAACACAAAGATAGCACTCAGCTACAGAATAAACAAAAACTGATAGCAAAAATAACTTCGTAATCAAAAGGGTCCAGTTCAGTGGTCAAACGCCGAGAGTTCAATAACAGAGTCCAGGGATCAAGAGTCTATACCGTAGTCAAAAGCCAGTCCAAAGGTTCAAGATTCCAGGGTTCCAAAATTCCAGGAGACAGGTCAGGATACCAAAAATCCAACAGACCTGAGGGAAAAACCAGCAGCATCCACCACCAAAAAGCAACAAATATTTTTCTCTCAAAGATCAGTCTCAAGGTTAGCTCCTTAAATCCAGTAATGCCCAGCTGCAACCCGTACCTCTGAATTGTTGTAGGTTTTTTGGGCTGTATGGCCATGTTCTAGAACAGCATTTCTCAACCTGAGGGTCAGGACCCCTGATGGGGTCGTGAGGGGGTGTCAAAGGTAAAAAACACTTTAAAGAAATAGTACATCCAATTAGGTAGGAAGATAAGTAGGAGCAAAGTAGTCCAGGGTAATAGTCCAGCAAAGTCTATAAAAACGTAAGTCAAAAGTTCCCAAATAAAATGCAAGAAATCAGGAAACATGAATCCAAGGCATGAATATAGGAGCATAGACCAAAACCATGAAACAAAGGCACTTAAAACATGAATTTTCCAAGCAAAGCTTCCATGAACAAGGACGAGAACTTGACTTGATTCCAAACAATGCTTCACCTGACTACATATCCTGTTCTTGGCACTTTTATCTCCTCATTAGCTATATCTCTAGCACTCAGAAATTGGTTTCACTTTAGCTGAGAATTTCTTATCTTTTTCTCTCGGAGCCTGGCAGACTGCCGAAGCCACTGTTCGGCTCTCCTGTTTTGACTGATCTCCTACCATCTATCTATTTGCTCATTAATTTCTGCAGCTGGACCAGGTGCCGAGCTGTTTTCATGTTCCCTATCATAGGAACTTTTTGGTAACAATTCAGAAAGCACACCATTATCCCCACACCTCTCAGGGACATTCTCATGGGACATTCTCACTTTGAACAGGGATCTCCTGCTCATTCTCTGCATCAATATCACTGGCGAAACCATTGCCATCTTGAAACTCATCCTGCAACTCATTAACATCACTCCCCACATCCAAAGCATCCTGATCCTGAAACATAATCACAGGCTGAGCTCCAACACATTGCTCCTTTCCACCAAGAGCCAAGGATCCTGTTCTGGTCCTGAACAAGTGTCTATCAGCTGAAATGCACTGGAAGAGAGCGAATAGATTGAAATTAAATCTCAACAAGGCAACAAGTGCAACAAGGTCAGTCGCAAGGCAGATCAGGGTATAGGGACACAACCTGTGCTGGATGGGGTCATTTATCTATTTATTTCCAGTATTTCTCCCTCGTTCTTCTCAACCCCTGAAGGGGGACTCAGGGTGGCTTACATTTGTCACAATTTGATGCCACTACATATAACAAAGCAATATAACAACAATTAAAACAATAAATAGAACATTAATTAAAACAATAAAAACAGTATCACCATTCCATATCCAATTCCACATCCAAAGTTCTATTTATGCCTGCTGTCCAAAAGCACGACTTCAATTTCTTCCTAAAAGATAGGAGGGATGAAGCCGATCTTACCTCGTTGGGAAGCGAGTTACACAGGTGGGAGGCTACAGCCGAGAAGGCCCTGTCTCTCGTCCCCGCCAGACATATTTGCGAGAGCAGGGCCTCCCTGGATGATCTTAAACTGCAAGGCGGGACGTAGAGGGAGATGCGTTCGGACAAGTAAGCTGCGCCAGAACCTTATGGAGCTTTATAAGTCAAAACCAGCACTTTGAATTGAGTTTGGAAGTGGATCGGCAGCCAGTGGAGCTGACACAACAAGGGGATGGTGTACTCCCTATATGTTGCTCCAGTTAGTAATCTGGCTGCAGCCCGTTGGACTAGTTGAAGCTTCCGAACAGTCTTCAAAGGCAGCTCCACGTAAAGTGCATTGCAGTAATCTATTCGGAATGTAACAAGAGTGTGGACCACTGTTCCAAGATCAGACTTCCCAAAGTACGGGCGCAGCTAGTGCACGAGTTTTAACTGTGCAAAAGCTCCCCTGGCCACCGCCGAAACCTGGGATTCCAGGCTCAGCAATGAATCCAGGATCACTCCCAAGTCTTCAGGGGGAGTGTAACCCTGTCAAGCATGGGCTGTAACCCTATGCCTGTTTGGCCTTTCGACTGGCTAGTAGGACCTCTGTATTGTCTGGATTCAATTTCAATTGGTTACTCTCCCCCTGAAGGCTTAGGTACACCGCTTGGTGCACCCATACTTTGAGACGTTAGACTTGACCACAGTAGTCCATGCCCTAGTTACATCTCAACTGGACTACTGCAAGGCACTCTATGTGGGGCGGCCTTTGAAGAGCACTCGGAAGTTTCAACTGGTGTGAAAGTCAGCTGCCAGGT